GGCGTCACCAACGGACGTCGCGGATAGACCTAAACCCAATCAGAGCGATGAAGGAGATGACGGATGCAGAGCGGCGGAGAATCTCCGAGTGTTGTTCTTTGCTCGGTTTTTAACAAAAAGGAAACGTTCAAATCGCTTAAAACAGACGCGATAGCTGATTCGAACGAGTGATGTTCGACGGCGGCATCCATCTTTGTAATGTAGGCTACAAAATCTGCTTCAAAATCCCAGCGCTGTCGTCATCGTGTAAAGCCCGTCCCAACGTTTCTGATTGGTGCCGCGATTTCGATGGATTGGAAATGGGTTTGAATGAGCTCTTTGCCAGACTAACTTTCAGAGCAAATCTAAATTTGCCGGAAGTTGTCTGGGTTTTGCCAGGCTAGTAATTTGTAAGACATGGAAACCCGTGACATTATACTCAGAGCGGTTTGTTACTCAAATTTATGCGTTTCAATGGAAACCCTATCAACGGCGGAATTAACTGCAGCCATCAGGTGATACAGGTCAGTGCTCTTTAAGTTGTTTATGTTCATTATTATTGTAATGTTATGTGCTTTGAGACATGAGGTAGTTTAACGCCATCTCTCGTGACGCTTTAGTTCTCTCTTTCTGTAAGCCTCCATGTGTTTTGGAGGAAGTGTGGCTTTGTAGACGCTCTGAAGGGAGGGGATCAATATGCTTTTTTCGGGGGGCCGCAGGGGCGTGCGAGAGAACAGCCAATGGCGACGCTACCCTGCCCCCTGACCTTGTGCAAGAGAGGGCCTCTCGTAGACCTCAGCTTCCCCTCTCTTCCTGCGAGAAATAGAAACAGGAACTTGCCGCCCCTCCTATCCCTGGCTTAGGGTGGTGTTAATGTTGTCAGACAAGAACACACTTTCACCTCTTAAGCTTAATCTTTCAGATGTGTTCCATCATCAACCTTTAAAAACATGTTTACCTGGAAGGTCTCTTGGTACACTTTTAGGGCTGGGCAGTATGACATACGATACCTTGCAATGGTAGAAGTGTGTCTGTTTATACCGTGGTAAATATATTTTTGTGACAGGACTACTTTAACTAAACTTTAAGTGGAAGGGATGACGAAAGCTGGAGCAGGGTTTGTATTGGAGGCCATTTTTCCATTTGATTTTCCAGCAAAAAAATAAGCATATCATGATTTAGTCTGTCACCATGACATAAAAATACTCATACCAAGATTTTAACCAACCACCCACCTTTAATTCTAATCATCAAGCAGAGATGCTCACAAGTCTCTAACTAGAGTCCAAGTCAAGTCTGAAGTCTCTTGTGGTTATAATAAGCGTTGCATCACGTACAGCGACCCATCCAGGCTGCTTAGAACACTTCATATATAAGGAATTCAAAGCATGTAATGTTATTATGACTCCTTTATCTATTAGCATACAGTATCAGCTTTGATTTAGGTAGATAATCAGTGTAAACAGGCTATTTCAACATGACAAAAACACCAAGAATGCTTTACTTTTAAGTTAATATCTGTATCTGTAAAAATTGAGGTTCTGAAGAAAAAGGACTCTCATGTCTGTTGCTGAATTATAATGAAAGGCCTTGGCTCCTATTGTGCTGGCTCTGTGGAGCCATAAGACCAAATATAGAAAATGTTATAGCCTACCTCACAGCACTAAAATTGACATAGTGCAAAACATCACAGTGTAGCTAAATGCAAAACACTATTGGAAACCAAATGATGTGAAATACATGGTTCCCCATACGTTCATATATTTGTGGCCCCCCGCCACAATATCAACACTGGCTGACCGCCACACATTGATTTTCGATTTTTTATTTTATTTTTTACTAAGCCTATTTAAAATCGTATTTGATTGCAGAGCGCCGTAGCGCATTCGCGCCGCACTACCTCTCGCACGTCCCTCTCTCTCGTTCACCCATACCTCTCGCGCAGATACCGCATATTTTCCATTGAGCGCTTCTTTTATTTGGCCCGTCTTATTTGAAGTTTTTAAACCCAAAGCTTACGATGAATGGCACAGCAGCGGCCGGTGCAGTCGACATGTTTGTTTGTTGTCCTCTCATGTGTGGCCACGCGCACGTAGTACGTGTTATGTAGGCAGGTTTTAGGTAACGGGTCGGAGGGAGGGGAATAACAGAGAGCTCATCAGACGTTTCCTAAAAATAAACATTGTTCACGAGTCCCGCAGCTCGAGTCCGAGTCGAGTCTGAAGTCTTTCGAGGACGAGTCTCAAGTCGAGTCTAAAGTCACTGTGTGTGCGACTTAAGTCGAGTCCGAGTCTCAAACTCGAGTCCCCATCTCTGTCATCAAGGATCTACGCATTCAGCTTAAATTCAGAACTACATCAGTAAATTCTTCTGATCTGTCATGGAAATATTTCCAACCAAATATTTTGAGACTACTTCAGATCGATCCTGTCTGTGTGTGGGTATGAAAAAGTTTGCACACTATTGATGTGTTTTCCAGATGATATGAATGAGGATACTAGGATCAAATGTCACTTTTAGTTGGATGAAGGGTACATCAAAGACATTTTTCACATTTCAGCCATGCTCTCATACAACACAGCGCACTTCATTAACATTCCAGCCCCTCAACAAATGCACATAAAAAAAAAAGAAAATCAAAATCCGTTTCAATTTGAAACCTGAGAAATTAAGTCAGAGCACAATTCGCATGAAAAGGTCATGAAAACCAGCAGCCATTAAGCTATTGCTCTCTGTTTAGTTGAATGCCTGGATAAAATTACTTGGTTTTATTCAGCTCATTTTAAGGATTGTGCATGATGAAATTTGTTCACTTTGCCATTCTTATTTAAATTGACAGGATGTATTTAGGAGGAGGAGAATCTTTACACACCTCACACTTTTATCTGTGTCAATTCGGGAAGTCATGATCCGATTCTAGAATAATTCTCGATCCCTCACAATTGTTATTATTTTTTTTATTACATTAATTCGTTTAAACATTTAAAAATATTTCATGATGCAGAACCTTGATTGGTTGTAAGATGGTGTAGAATAAAACTTAAGCCTTTTTTGTGCTTTGCTGTTAAATGCATCTCAACTCTAAAAAATGTTTTGTTGTAATTGATCCAGAATCGTTTGAGAAGGAATTGCAATACTCGACTAGATTATAAGTGGTGTCATGATCTTGAGGTGTTGTAGGTGGTTGTCGATTGTTGATATGTACTTGCTAAGGTGTTTTCAGTGTTTTTTAGCATGTTGCTATGTGGCATGTGCCTGCTAGGGTGTTCTAGGTGGTCACTCATTGATCCACGCCAAAAGAGCACTACTCTAAGTTTCTGTGTTCTTCAGGTTTTTAGATATGGCTCGGATCCGTCCCTCAATGTAAAGGTGCGATCACATTTACTGCTGTTCTCCGAATTTTCACAGACAGAATCAGCAGTTTCAACAGGAATCCGTGCCGATTTTGCGACAGGAGTTGACTTTTAAACCAACAGGAAACTGCTTGGTTTGAAAGACTTCAATGTGTTCTTTGCTTCGTTCATCTCTAAACTATTGACAATCAGTCCATGAGCAAGACACCTAACCCCAGCTGCTCCCGACGAGCTGGATGGCGCCTTGCATGGCTGACACCGCCGTCGGTGTATGAATGAGTGAGTGCATGGGTGAATGTGAGGCAGTATGTAAAGCGCTTTGGTGGCCATTGGGTCTGTGAAAGCGCTATATAAATGCAGTCCATTTACCATTTTACCATTTAACAACCCAAAACGCCTGTTCCTCTCCCACCATACTGACTTCATTTTAAACTCTTGCATTGCAGAGTTCAGATCGAAACAAACCAGATTGATGTCGTCGCTGAGTTGAGCGCTCTGCAGAAGTTCCTCAGCGAGAGCTACATTGCTATTATGTGTGTAAATACGGCGCTCAAGCTCTGATCTAAATTTAGCCTTTCCCTCAAGAAATCTTCACTTAGAATGCAGCCCAAAACAAACAGTCTCGTCCTCTCTTCTCTCCAGCTGCTGGACCGAGTCGAGTTCTCAAACGGTCCTTCAGAACCTTTGATCTCGAGAGGAGAAAGAAGGTTAAGTAGTTTGGCAGTAGAATAATTATTGACACTTTCTATCAGCTCTTTGTGTCTAACTGGGATGGGAGTGACCAAATTGTGACTGTTTCTCAAGAGTGCTCTCTGCACTTACTGCTGCTGGCTCCCCTCCAAAAGTATCACTTTGCTCGCATTAGTCTAAGAGAAGCTTCCGCTGCGTAGCTTTCATCCACCCAGTCCAGGAGAGGAAGGAGGACAATAGTGAAATGATGCACGTTTCTTTGTGTGGGAATAAAAGGCACTAACACATTAGAGAAAGCTCTGACAGATAGGGATGCATAAGATTTGTTTGGAGGGTGTGGATTATGTACACCGCAAACTAAAACCTGCTGGCCTTACATCAGGAACCAAAATTCGAGGCCACAAAACTGTGAATGTGCATTTCACCGTACCAACAGAAAGTGCATATAAATCCAAACTTTCATTCAAAAGGTTAGGGTCGGTGAGATTTTTTTTTTAAGTCTATAATTCTGCATTTATTTGATCAAAAATACAGTCATAAAGTAATGTGAATTATTTTTACAAATTTAAAAACTATTTTAACAAATTTTTATGTAATTTGTTCATGTGACGTCAAAGCGAAAATTTCAGCAGTCAGTGTCAGATGATCATTCTAATATGCTGATTTGGTGCTCAAGAAACATTTTTACTATCAATGTTGAAAACAATTGTGCTGCTTAATATTTTTGTGGAAACTGTGATGCATATTTTTTAGATGCACTTTTTTTTCTTTTCTTTTTTTTGAGACCATGATGATTTTTTTTTGTTGTAAAATTATAAATGTCTTTACTGCAACTTTTGATTTATTGCATCCTAACGGAATAAAAGTGTTTGCGTATTTCTTTCAAAAACAAAAAACTCTTGAATGGTAATGTATATTCATGCTCTCAAGTTTTGGTATCACTTACCAAGGATTTGAAATTTCTTTGTGTGCCCACAGAGAAAGCAGCTCTGATGTCTCTAGATGATGAGGTGCAAAAGAGTGACATATCGTCCAGCAGTCAGGACATGGTGGAGAAGGAAGCCCTTGGGCCACTCCTTTTGGAGGTATGTTGAACTTTTCGGACTGTTTATCTGTAGAAAAGACTGATGTCTGAGTATTGCCGTAGCCTGGCCCATTTCCTATGGTTGGGAATATGGCACTTCAGTGCAACATACATCTTATTTGTGTCCTCTATCTCTATTCTCTGCCCGCTCCACCAGGCCCTGGATGGCTTCTTTTTCGTTGCGAACCGCGAGGGGCGCATTGTGTTTGTGTCTGAAAATGTCACCAGTTATCTGGGTTATAGTCAGGAAGAGCTGATGACCTCCAGCGTCTACAGCATCCTTCATGTGGGAGATCACAACGAGTTTGTGCGCAACCTGCTACCCAAAAGCCTTGGTGAGTCTCCCGGTGAGGACGGAAACAGTGAAGAGCAGAATGATAGATAAAGGCCCCAATATACTCGCGGCGAAGTTCTTTTTTGTTCTTCGCATAGGTGTAAAAAGAAGATTACTATGGCTGATTTTGCTACTGCCCAAACGTTATCATGCGACAGAAAGCTTGAGCTCCATGCACAGGACCATTTGCCTGCCTGAGGCTATGAATTGATTTGTTTGATGTATACAAAAATAAAAGTAGGATTTCAGTAAAATAAAGATTGAGATTTTAGTTTTTCAAAGAAAGAGTTTGTTTTATTTCTCACATATTTTTAGGTAACTGGTATCAATGTCAGACAGGTTTGTTAAATAGGTTGCCAGGTCTTCTTGGATAAATGGAAAACCTGCTTAAAGAGGTTGTTCGGGATTATCAAGCAAGTCATATTTCTCACGCAATACGGGGATGAAGAAAGATCTTTTTGAAGATAAAACGCATGAAATGGTGCAAATATCTTGTAAAAGACATGAAAACAACTAACAGATTATTGAACTATCAAAAGATTTGTGAGTGATTTAGTGCACAGAAGAACTCGGTCAAATAAAGTTTCTGTCAAACAAATTAAATGTATAAAAAGGGCAGCTATAAAACGCCACTGTTGAGCAGCAGACAGGTATTTGAAGCCGCTGGTGTTTCTGAAGTCCCAAGAACCTATCCATGTTGGGTACATTTGGATTCAAATGTATGTACAAGCTGTTTTTTGCCGGTTGTTGGAAAAAATAAAATAAAATGAATAAAAGAGGCACGGTGTAGATACATCGCAGGTGGCTTGGAAGACGTGGGTAATATATGGCTAATCCATTTTGCAACATAAACTGGAGGTAAGCAACAGTAATTTGTAGCTAGTTTGAACTACAGAACTTAACGAATGTTTTTTTTTTTTTTTTTTTTTGCTGCAGATGAAAAGGTTTAAACTTCTGTTTTCGCGCAGGCGGGAAAAAACACTTGCTGCGTCCCAATTCGTCTACTTGTACTTTGCCCTAAAAGTATGTACTCTTTTTGTGAAGAAAAAGTACATACTTTTGAGTGTGTAGCAAAAGAGTAGGCAAGCTTTAGGACATACTACTTCGTCATCAAATCTGCCGCGTGCATCCTGTCACCGTAAACTGCCCTGTCAATCATCTTGTCACAGTTAAAATCAATGTATCAAATCCTCCATTCAATGTAATTTAATTTCTTACCGTTTCGGAGAGAAATGTTGTAGCACGTTCACCTGCCAGTCGTGAGTCTTTCATGCGGAGACTCTCCTCATGTGTTTGCATTTCAATAATGATGCATTTAAAAGTTAATGGCTAAACGCTTTACAAAAGTTCACAATGCTGCTGCAGATGCAATATAATGTAGCCAACACTGAATAAATACATTTTTGTCAGATTAGATACTGATAATGAATCACTCAAACCCCTTTATCTAAACCACTCTACATAACCGCCGGACTCGCGCGTCCTCCATTTTTTTTTAAACACTTTTCACTCGTGTTTGTAGTTCTAACCGAATCTTCGTCCATTGCGCGATGGGTTGTGGGCAATATCAGCCGTTAGAGTGCGCATCGATCTGCACTTCGGATTCTGACCGGAAATAGTAGACCACCCGGGTCTCTTTGGAACACTCATTTAAACATACTACGATTTGGGATGTACTAATTCTATTTTCGAATACCATTTAGGACAGATAGTATGCGAATTGGGACGCAGCAACTGAGTTTAGTGCAATCGGTTCGTAGCTCTGCTTGAACTGTGCGATATAAACACGAGAAGCGACCAAAATTTTATGCCAGAAATTCATCCGACCATCCGATTGCCGATCGGGAGAGGTTAATCGCCTCTTGTTTCTCCCTGTACACTGCACTCAAAACGAGTGTATGCCCGCCTTTACACTCCACTGGTGGTCTTATCTCGCACTTCTCTTCACTTACCTTTCTCATCTGTGTGTGTGTTTTCAGTAAACGGTGTTCCATGGCCTCAGGAGCAAGGCCGGAGGAACAGCCACACGTTTAACTGCAGGTTGCTGAAAAGGCCTCCAGATGAGGTGGACACAGAGAACCAGGAGGCCCGACAACAGTATGAGCTCATGCAGTGCTTCACGGTCTCTCAGCCCAGAGCGGTGCAGGAGGAGGGTGAGGGTAAGACCACACACACACTCATAAAGTCATACCCATATAAATATTTAGCTTAGTGCAGGGTTGACGTGCCAGTGTTCAAATCTGAAAACAGTTTTTTTTTTAGTTTTTATTATGGCTGGGTCACTTTGTTCAAACCATGATGTCTCTGTTGTCCACAGACCTGCAGAGGTGTTTGATATGTATAGCATGTCGAATGCCCCGTCCACCTCAGATCCCTGTCAGTACGGAGTCCTTCATCACCAAGCAGGACCCTACAGGTAGTGTTTCATTACACACACACACACATACTAGACTTAATATAAAATATTGTCATAAGCTAAACCAAAGACTAAACTATTGATTTACACATTTTAGCAAATCAAAAATAAAACAACTATTGCAAAGCAGAAAACAGTAGTTGAAAAAGCTGTTGTCGAAATAAAATTGATTAAAAATAAATACTGTAGTTAGCGAGAGATACTAGTAAGGTTTCTGATAACAAATATGGACACAAATATTCACACAGGAGGACAAACTCCTAATTGTTTTTGTATGCAAACATATTAGATGGACTCTTTTGGCCATCTCATGCTTTTGCTGTATGTCTCACTGGCTGTGTACGAAATCGCCCCCTATACCCTTAAAGGAGTAGTTCACTTTTTAAAAAACTTTTGCTGATAATTTACTCACCCCCATGTCATCCACGATGTCCATGTCTTTCTTTCTTCAGTCGAAAAGAAATTAAGGTTTTTGATGAAAACATTCTAGGATTTTTCTCCATATAATGGACTTCATTGGGTACCAAACGGTTCAAGGTCCAAATGACAGTTTCAGTGCATCTTCAAATGGCTTTAAACGACACCAGACGATGGATAAGGGTCTTATCTTGCGAAACGATCGGTCATTTAAAAAATAAATAAAAAAGTTAAAGTTTTATGAGCATAAATGCTCACCTTGCTCTGTTCTGTGATGCGCGTTCGTGACTCTCCTGTTCGAACTCGTTCATCAAAATGAACAAATCTTTTTTCGAGTCATTTCGTTCATTTAATGAACGAAATGACTCGAAACTAGACTCGTTCAAAATTAACAAATCTTTTTTCGAGTCATTTTGTTCGTTGAATGAACGAAATGACTCGATGTCGAGTATAAACAAGGCTTTACTCCGTGTCAGCACGCGCTCTGAAATCTAAATTTGCCGGAAGTTGTCTGGGTTTTCCCAGGCTACTTTAATAGGGCACTATTTGAAAGGACAGCTGTTTGTAGAGATGTCCAATACCATCCAGTGCACTCATTCAATCCCACAATGCACCGCAATAACGAGTATATAACCGTTGTACGCTCAGCGGCTAGAGAATACCCATAATGCACCGTGACCTCGTCTCACCGGAAGATGGCGCCCGCAGCTCAATCAACCATCAATCCATTTTCCAAACCGCTGGTCCTATGTGGGTACAGGGGGCAATTTCGAACACAGCCACTTTTTTTTCTTTCTTTTTTTATCTGGTTTTTGTAATAATGATTTTGATAAACACTTTTAAAGGGGTCATATGATGCTATTTTAAAGGTTAATTATTTAGATTTCTGGGATTAATAAAAAAAAATTCACATACTGTACGTTGTTGTAGCTCCTCTATCCCCTGTCTGTCTGAAACATGCTAATTTCTAAAAAGCTCCTCCTTCCGAAAAGCTCACAGTGCTCTGATTGGCTAGCTGATGTATTATCTTGACTTCAATCGAGGCGTTTTAGGCAGGTCTGGTTTATTCTATCCTCTGTTAGATAGAATAAATGGATCAGATCATATACATGCACAAACAGATACATTACATACTACAGGAAAAGGAAAACATTAAAAAGCACCATAAGACCCCTTTAAAATGCATCTCCAGACGTCACCTTCCATTTGAATGCGCTCTATTTTTTTTTGTTTTAAATTCCAAACATTACATATGTGACGGGTACATTGAGCTTGTACGTTGTTTCCTGTGATTGTCATTCCTGTGTAAATACAGATGTGGCTTTGTTCTTTAAAAGTCTTGCTTAGTTTTGTGCAGGAGAAGAAAAAGAAACATGCTGGAGAAGAATAACAAACATGCAGACTGAAACTGAAACTATGCTTTTTCTATTCTTGCACAAGGAAGCGCAAAACTGTTTGTTGTTAAAACTGCAATGTGAAAAGCTTCCTCTTGAACTTCTAGTCCTGTTGACAAAATCGAATGATCTTTCTCTCTGTGTGTGTGTGTGTGTGTGTGTGTGTGTGTGTGTGTGTGTGTGTGTGTGTGTGTGTGTGTGTGTGTGCGCAGGGAAAATCATCTCTATTGAGACGAGTGCTCTGAGGGCCACAGGCCGACCAGGTTGGGAGGATCTGGTCAGGAAGTGCATCTATGCTTTCTTTCAGCCTCAGGGCAACGAGCCCTCCCATGCCAAGAAGCTGCTTCATGAGGGTGAGCACGTTCACCTCCGTTCTAGCCATTTTGAGTAGTACTTGACATTTTAAAGCAGCGATGATTAGACCTTGTCTTTCTTTACCTAGAGAACCATTACCTTTTTATGATGTATTTGATGATTGATCAATCTGTGGATTATTTCTTCATTTAATCGAGTAGCCAGTTTTTATTTGCCAGAAAAAGCAGTATTATTTTCTTTCTTTTATTGAAAATTCAATATTTTTTTGATATTATTATGTTATTATATTATATTATTTTGATCTATGCCTAATGCTTTCCTCCAATCAAAGTGCAAAAAGAAGTTTATAAAAAGAAAAATGGATGTATGAATATAGGGTTTACATAACTATTCATAAGTTTGGAGTCTATTTTTTAATGTTTTTGAAAGTCTCTTATCTTCACCAGGGTTGCATTTATTTGATCAAAATATTCAGTAATCAGTAGTATAGTGGAATATAGTGGAATATTAACAATTTACAATAACTGTCTATTTTACAATGTATTCATGATGACGAGGCTGAATTCAGCGGCCATTACTCCAGTGTTCAGTGTCACATGATCCTGAATCCTTCTAGTATCCTGATTTGGTGCTCAATAAACATCTCTTATTATTAACAATGTACAAAATGGTTGCGCTGCTTAATATTTTTGTAGAAACTGTGACTGATTTAATCTGTTTGTGTTGACAGTGATGACCCACGGCACGGCCATCAGTCCTCTCTACCATTTCACACTCAGTGACGGGACATCCCTCAGTGCGCAGACGCGCTGCAAATTCTGCTGCCCCCAAAACCCAGATGTACAGCCCTTCATCATGGGCATTCACACTATAGACAGGTATCCTCTCACAGTAACCAACACAGAGAATGTCTCTTTAATTTATATAAACACAGCACACAACGACTATTGGATCCCTCATATTTTTTTATTTGAATGTGTGTTTTAGGGAACACAACACTGCTAGGTCTCAGGAAAACACTACCCCCAGCCTTCCATCTCCTGCTGCCCCGCCCTCCCGTTCACCTGCCCTGCAGCCCTCCAGTGACCTCAGCCTCCATCTCAACAACAGCAACGGCACCTGTGCCACTCCTGGACCCCCCACACCCACTCCACCAGGCTACCTGACGCCCAGCCGTGTTGGGCCCTCCCAGCAGGTCAGCAGCCCCTCTCCACTAGGCAGCCCGCTCACATCCACCTCTACCTCATTCATGTCGCCCCGACCTCCACGGGGTAGCCCGGGCCTGGCCAGCAGCCCACGTGTGCCCGGCCATCCTTTTTCCCCCTCTACGCCCGGCATTCACTCACCCGCTGGTGGACTGACCAGGCAGCAATCTAGTGGCGATGGTGTCGGTTTCTCTCTCCCTTCTCCCCTGCCTCCCAGACAGACTCCAACCCCCAGCAGCTCTCCGGCACGTCAGCCACCGGCCAAACCGCCGGAAGCATCCACCGATGAGCCCAAGACGGTAGGCAACTCCAAACTCAACCAGCTCTTGGACGGCAACCCCGATGCGGGTGCCTCCGAACACGACCCTCAACCCCGTTCCTCACCCATGTCCCAGTGCCCAGGCTCTCACCGCAGCCTGACCGAGCGCCATAAGATTCTGCACGGCCTGCTCCAAGACAACAGCCCTGCAGATGCAGGCAAGGAGCTTGACATTAAGAAGGAGCCTCCAACCAGTCCCAATGCGGCCTTGGTAGCACGGGGGCTCGGGAAGGAGCCCCAGGACCACCAGCTGCTACGTTTCCTGCTGGATACGGATGAAAAGGACCTGGAGGACTTGCCTCCTCCGGCCGCTCTCAGCCTCCAGACGGTCAAGGTGAAGGCCGAGAAGAAAGGGAGCAGAGAGAACGTCCCCTGTGCCGCTGCTGCAGCCACCAACGTGTCTGCAATCGCTTGCTCACCTCAATCCAGTGGCAAGCCCAGTCCGGTATTTACTTCCTGATTTATTCCATATTTGTACTTAATGAAAGAATGTCTAAGTACATGTTACTATGCCACAACGACTAAAGCCTTAACATTATTGATAAACTTCACTACTCGAGTTATGTTTACACTATCGTTTAAAGGTTTTGGGTCGGTAAGATTTTTTTGTTTTGTTTGTGAAATATTACACTTTAAAATAACTTAAATTTTAATGTATTTTATTCCTTTGGTAAAACTGAATTTTCAGCAGCCATTATTCCAGTTTTTAGTGTTTCGTGATCCTTCAGAAATCATTATAATATGCTGATTTGGTGCTCAATTAATATTTCTTATTACTATTAATCTTGAAAACCCTGTGGAAAAAACATTAATTTTCTTTGATGAAGTTTAAAAGAACAGCATTTATTTACTTTAGTAACATTTTAAATATCTTTACTGTCACTTTTGATCAATTTAATGGGGCCTTTTTTATATTTAAAATAAATTTATTTTTTAATTTTTTTAATCTATTTGACTCCAAACTTTTAAGAAGTACTACGTTTACTCCTGCGCATAGCTTTTAAATATGGTTTGGCTGATAGAAATTTAGTTTGCCAAATTTATTTTTTGTTTCGTAAGTGATAACGAGAACGAGGTGAAAAATGCACATCACAATACATAAAACATTTTAATTAAAAAATATTGAAGAAAGCTTAAAGAATTTTATTACAATTAATGTGTACTCATAATTATTTCAGAAGCTCAGGTTTTCACAACAAGGTCAGATTTCACATGTTTTTGTTGAATGTTGTTGACAATGATGAAATATTTGAAATGTTTGAATATTTGGTTTAATTTTGCACATTCACATCACCAAAAAATTATTTTCATCAGCTCAAATAAGATTCCATTTTAGCCAGAGTAAAATTGACTAAAATAAATGAAAATGTCATGGAATATTTAATGAATAAATTTTTTTGTTAGTCATAGTTTTTGACAAAAGAATCATGTTGTCTTCTCATTTGCATAAAGTTAAGCTCTTCGCAACTTTGTCTTGTTGCTGGATGTGCCCTTATCCCATCATCCCTGGCACAGGAAACGGCTGTTTCTTATGAAAATAATTTGCACCATGAACTCCCCTTCAGTGTCCTACTGAACATATTAGTGATACATTTTGTAAGCCTTATTCTTGCTGGGTTCCCTCAGTTACTGGTGTTCTTGAACTGTCAAACCCGTGTGTTGTTTTGAGGCGGTCACGTTTGGACTTTATCTTTCTTGTGCTCTGGTGTGCCTTTTGATGTCGATGACCTTTGCTCTCATTTCCACTCCACCTCTTGTGTGTGTTTACATGAGTAGCAGTTTCCCAGTACCGATCTGGACACTTTGAACCAGCTCTTGCCCACTCTGAGAAGCTCTGTGGGATGTAAATCTATAGAGGAGCCAGTGCTCGTCCAGCCCAGTGACGACAACCTTTCCATCGGGGTGAATGTGAAGAGAGAGTCACCAGGAACATCAAGCCAAGGTGAGGCCTGTCCCACCGAAGTAATTATAAAATTCTGAATTTTTCATTTATCTTAAGTCCTTAATAACTGCTTTTCTCCTTCTCCACTTCTCTCTGTAGCATTTCCTGATGGATCAAACCTCTCGAATCAGTCCTCTTTTGAGTATTGTGACCCCTCTACACCAAACCAGGGTCAGGTCCAGGTGCCGGATCTTGGGCAGACAGACCCTTTCCAGCCCTCAAAGGAGAGCAGCAGCCCCTTTGCCAGTTCAACCAGCCTCAACTCTTTCAACACCACCACAGGTACCAAATTGAATGCGCCAAAACATAAACTTTTAAAATAGAAAGGATTTGAATAGCAGGCCAGGGGAAGAAATAAGATTTTTAACTAAATGTAATCATATTTTACTCAGGTCTGGCCAAGCTGGAGCTTCCTGATTCTCAGCAGCAGTTCCAACCCTTGACCCTGGTTGAACCAATGACCTTCGATAGCAGCTTGGACAGCCAGACACAGGCCCCTCTGTCCTCTCCTCAAGAGTGAGTGTTTATGGATGTGATTATTGAATTCAATTGTGATTTGCACACAAATTTCACAAATTTTGTTATTTTATTTTTTACACATGGAAAAAAAAATACAAATGTTTCGGCTCTCAGGCCTTCTTCAGTGTATGAGGTACAGTGATTATTGATGATAATCAGGCTACAGGAACTGGAAAAAAAAGATAATTGATATAGTATATTATAATAAATTATAAATTAAAAATGTTGCTGTCAGATACAGAAATAATGTGCATTCTTGTGTCAAATATTTAAAATAAATATTTTCTAATTTTAACATTCATCTGTGAGTATAAATGAGTTGAGACTTAGTGTTGACAAAATAAGCATATACTGTAGTAATTAATCACACGTGTAGCTGTTTTTCATTGGTGCTGCTAACTACTATAAAATTTTTATGTAAAATAAGGCAAATTATCTAAAAATCCCACGGTTACTTAAACAGTACCAACTCCATCACCCAAATTTTTATCATGGTTTTGTCACCAGGAAATATCAGCACATTTAACTGAAATCATATTTTAGTATTTATTAATATTTTAAATTAGCTTTTATTTTTATATTTTCAGTTTTCATTTTAATTGTAATAATTTAAAGGGTTAGTTCACCTTAAAATAAAAATAATTCTGTCATTAATTATTCACCCGTTCCAAACCCGTAAGGCTTTCGTTCATCTTCGGAACACAAATTAAGATCTTTTTGATGAAATCTGAGAGATTTCTGTCCTTCTGTTGACAGCTACGCAGCTGACACTTGGACAAAAAGTTCATAAAGAGATCGTAAAACTAATCCATATGAATAGAGCGGTTTAGTCCAAATTTTCTGAAGAGACTTGATCGTTATATATGATAAACAGATTGAATTTATGCTTTTATTCACATATAAACATTGATCAGCAAAGATAAACAAAAGCTCAACCAAAAAGCTGAAGCTCAAATGTGCTGCGTAACACGAGAATGAACCTCATTGGCTCTCGCACGTTAAGCGAACATGCCTTAGCCTATGTTCACCACAACTAATTTGTGAGTTGATGAATGTTTATATGTGAATAAAGGCCTAAATTTGTTTAGGGGTTGAGTGATATGAACTTCATTTTGATCAAATAAGCAGTGAATAAGGCAAAGTCCTTTTAGGCAAGTCATGTATAAATTGTCTCTGAATAAGGTGAATTGGCACATTTGTGTTAAGAACATTCTAGTAAATTATCTCTGATTTATGTCAATGTGTAATAGTTGCTTTTTTTAAAATTACTACTATAATACTGTAGTCCTTCAGTCACAGGGAAGAAAATGTGCATTTTCACCAAAATTCTGTTTACCTGCCAGATCAGTTAACCCTGCAAACATGACATAGAAGTGGCAGCTGCCTTCCTTCCACTCTTGATCAGAATCGTAGACCATCTTGTTTGTTCTCTGCACTACGCAGGCAGTGCGTTCCGTGTCCACTGGATGAGATGCTGTGTCCGCCCACCACTCCCGAGGGCCGCAACGACGAGAAGGCCCTGCTGGAGCAGCTGGTCACTTTCTTGAGCCGGACTGACGAGAGCGAGCTCGCCGAGCTGGACCGAGCTCTGGGCATCGACAAGATTGTTCAAGTTAGTATTATAAGAAAAAAAAATCTTCTCATTCATTTTACCAGAACAAGAACAATGTGTCTAAGGTTGACTGGTTTACCGCCTTGCCTACAGAGTGGAGGTCTCGAACCCGTCATCCAGACCTTTCCTCAATCTCAGCCCCCAACACCTGTACCCATGGACCCCAAGCTGCCCAGCTACCCCTCTCAGTTCCCAACCTCACCCTCACAGTTCCCTGCTGAGATGGGCACAGCACAAGGCATGAGTTTCGGGGCCCCACGGATGGCGTTTCCAGGCAACGTAAGCATTACGGTGCGGCCCGGCATGAACCGAGCTCCTGGTGTGCCCAACCAGCTGCGACTACCTCCTAACCAGCTGAGACTCCAGCTTCAGCAACGTTTGCAAGGCCCACAGCAGGTAGATCTTCAGCTTTCACTTCATTGTGCAATAATAAATGTGAACACACAATGTCTAAATCCTCCTCTTGGATTTTGTTGCACTGTGTAACAAATCCAGTGAATGCTTTTGATTTCGCCCTTTTAAATAACATGCTGTGGAACTAACCTATTCTTTTGTCGAGTGCAGCTGCTGAGCGAACATGATTAGTTGCTCTTGTTTAGTGGTGATCTATCTCCTCTCCCCATCAGCTCCAGAACAGGCTTGCGGCCATGGGCCAGTTCCCACAGGGGGGGCATGTTGTCATGGGGATGCGTCAGGGCATGCAGCAGCCTCAGATGCCCTCTCAGGTTAGCGTCGCATGCGCCGAGACAAATTATGAATGCCATTTATAGGGATGTAAGCATTTGCTCTGACAGGTTTGATTTGATTACGATTGTAAGACCAGATCTGAATCTTGGTCAAAATTTGGTTTGGTTTGATAATTTTGTTCACAAGTTCACAAATCCTGACGATGCAATCACTGCTATTATTTATTTATTTATTTAAAAAGCTGAATTGTACATGCATATAATATTGATTTTATTATAAATATACAGAATATTTAGTGTGTGTGTTTGTGTGTATATATATATATATATATATATATATATATATATATATATACTAGTATTGTTTATTTCTTACTTTGTTATTATGAACTATACTGTTATTCATTATTAACAGATAATATTAATTATTATTCTGTTTAAGACAGTCATTGCTAGTATTTATTGTTTTATATACTTAAAAAAGTATAATATTAATATTATTTTTATAAATAAGACACATTCATTGGTAGTATTCATTATTTGTTTATATTAGTGCTGTCAAATCGATTAATCACGATTAATCGCATCTAACATATAAGTTTGTTTACACATAATATATGTGTATGTATATTATTAAATGTATATATATATATATATATTTATCACATATGTTTGTGCATGTATGTGTGTGTATATACTGTATATATACACACACATATTTATACACATTTAGACAGGCACACACAGACATATATATTATATATATAAATGTAATTATATACAGACAAATATATTTTGTAAACACAAACGCGATTAATCAATTTGACATCTCTATTTTATATATATATATATATATATATATATATATATATATATATCTTCTGCCTTTGCCGCCTTGCCATTTCCATAATCAGTGCATTTAGTGCACATAGTCAAATTAATCAGTGCACATAGTCAAATTAGTGCTTTTGTGTATTTTTTCACTCTTTCCCTTTTACAATTGTTATTTTTTCTGTATATGCCTGTGACTGAAACTGAAAGCTAGTCTCTCTCTCTCTCTCTCTCTCTCATACAGCCTCCGCTGAACGCTCAGATGATGGCGCAGCGGCAACGGGAGCTTTACAGTTTCCAGCACCGCCAGCGGCAGCTTCTACAGCAGAAGGTCCTGCTGATGAGGCAGGGGATGAACACGGGGCCTCTGGGGGCTCAGCGAGTTCCTAAGGGTCCCCAGCAGCAACTGCCACCACAACAGCAGCAGTTTGGCTTTCCTCCTGGCTACAGTGCCGTGCCTGGGAACACCCCTACCTCCCCGAGCCATTTTAACCCCATGGGAGGACCTCTGGACCCCAAGCTGCCTACCAGAGGGGGTATGGGAAACCAAGGAATTATGGGAGGCATTCAAGGGCAATTTGGGGGGCCTGTGAACACTCCTGTTCAGCAGGGGCTTTTCCAGCAATTTGGGGGGCCTGGTATGTCTCATTTGTAAGCTACTAATTTATCATCAGAAGGGTTATTATAGTTAACTAAAGCTAAAACCATAAAAAACATTTTTGAATAAAATAAAATTCAAATAAAATTACCGTAAACTGAAATAAAATAATATTTAAAAAGTACACATTTTATTTCAGTATTTCTCTTTTTTTTTGCATTGTTTACTTACTAAAATAAGTGAAACTGAAATAAAAACTATATAGACAATTTATAAAAATTGGGGAAAAATACTAAAACTTTAATTATAAAAATATATCAATCAAATATTCAATTCAAAATATTAATAAAACCTATAACAGTCTCTCAATGATACTAAAATAACAACGTGCTTCTGTCATGATGTCTAGCAAGAGTCAGTGTACCACTTGTCTCTCACAGGCATGATCCAGCAAGCAGATCCATCCTTTGCCTCTGAGCTGAGTCCAACCAGCCCCTTGCTTTCACCTCAGAACTCCACCTCCCAGAGTCCTCTGCTCCAGCAAGCGCAGCCTCCACCTGGTTATCAGTCACCTGACATAAAGAACTGGCAGCAAGGGGCCATGGGAAACAACAGGTATGCTGCTTGATATTGATCACCAAAAAGGTCACAAAGATTATATGCAATTTATAAAGATTATAAGTTTTTCTTTCATTGTTTTTACGTGTCTTCATATTCATTTAAACCATTTCATTTTGTTGTGTCAGTATGTATAACCAGGCAGGTCAGCCTGTCTCTCAGAACTTTGGGCAGCAAGGCGTTTATAACAACATGAGCATCACCGTGTCAATGGCTGGAGGTTCAGGAGCGGTGAGCACTCTACCTCCTATTGGACCATCTGTCGGCATGGGCAACAATAACCGTGGCAACGTTACTGCAATGTGTAACGATCAGGTAAGATGGTCTCTATATAATGACTTAAAGGAATAGTTAAATTTTTTTTTAAAAAAACCTCACTTACTCATTTTCTCACCATGCATGAACTTTTTTCTTCCGTGGAGCAAATTTTTTTTTTAAACAAAATTTACAAAGAATTTGTAAAGAAACATACCATTTTGGTCTTCTTGAAGCTTGTAAGCTTCAGTCCCCATTCATTGTAATTGCACAGAAACAGAGCACCAATTTGGGGTTAAAGGTACAATATGTAAGAACTTTGTAATAAAATATCCAATAATCGCTTGCACACTCACAGTGTGATATATTTCCTGTAGTTGTGTACTAACAATATTCCAAAAGTTCCCAAAGATTTTTAATTTCAGAGAAATTCCCATTTAAAATAATTGGCCGTCCCGGAATTCCTGTTCACTTGTCGCCTGTCAATAACGTAATGTCCGCATTATCCCTGGTTTCCGCTAGTAGTACTGCCATAGTAACCATGACGACAGACGTGGACAACTGCGTAGTGCGTAAGGTCTAGCTGCACGCTGTTGTTGTTTCGTTCAAACATTATGGACCATGACAAGCAGACTTTGGAAAAAAAGGAGAACTAAAACGAGGATCAATATCACCGTGGCGTTTTCGAGATGAGAGCTCCACGTCCGCGAATAACTTCGACTGGACGCCGCTCTTACATGTACTTTATTAGACAGCTGAGCAAATGTACATAAAACTAATCAATGTTATATAGTTCACCATGATGGAATGTTGGAATATGATCTGTATATTATTCTAATGTTGATCTAGTTTACTAGCCTGACTTCGTCATACTCATATTCTAGTCAGAAATGTGAGTCTGATACTGCTCCATAGGGCTTTGATTATGAGGCGTGTCTTAACCGAACCAGGAAAAAAAAAACTCTGCACTCAATTGGATAGACCTACAACCAATGAGAGCAACGCAGTAAGTCAACTACTTTGCATAGCACAGTTGTCAACTACAGAACTCAAATGCACGCACGCTGGAAGAAGTAAAATAACGAGTGTCTTTTACTTGGTCCTCTATGAGTGCGACCAAAGGAGAAACCACAACGACCACAGGGTTTTCATTGCGTCCCATCTTCTTAGTTACCATCGGAGCCAGCTGATAAATTAAACTTTTGCCGAATACCGTAGGAAGGACGGCAAACACATCTTTCCGATCGACAAATGCCTCGATTGCAGTTCTATGTTCGTCTTTTAAAATGAATGCGCTGTCGATTTCTTTTACAACAGACGCGATAGCGGAATCTCTACATCTCAGTTCTCCCGCCGCAGTCATCTGTGAGGGAAACCAGTTCAACCCATGCGCTCTTTGATAACGTGAGGATTACGTAACTGCAGATCATCTGTCCATCATCGTATAAAGCCCGCCCTGGCAATTTGATTGGCCCGACGATTTCTGAACCGATCATAATTACTCCTCAATGGAGCGAGTCCAGACCGAACTTCCCGATCAAAAAATGTTGTGGGCGGGGTTCGGGCTGGCATCCAGGCTACTAGTTTACTGCTATATAGCCAACAAACTAACACTGAATAAAATTATAACTTAAACACACTCAAATGCTGTTTAGTGTGATAGTGTAACGTTAGACCAAGTGAAACAGCGCTGCGTTACCTCAGAAGCTTCATTCGTCTAATAAACTGACCTGTTTGAGTAATTCAGCACTTGTGGGTAGATCGGTAGTATTAAATATTCTTATTCCTTTATATCCGCGGGATTCGCGTGTAGCGCTAATATCTTATTAGCAATCGCGCCCTGCTTCATACCACAGTCATGATAAAAACATCAATGTATTCACTCATCCATAAACATTATTAGATCCATCGGCTTGACGACAAGTTCCATAATTCCACAGAAAATTTTGCGTCATCAACCTACGCCTTTGTTATTGTAAGAGGTTTGCGACCCCTAGCAGCGAAAGAAATTACATATTGTATCTTTAACTACCCTACAAGTGTTATTTTAGTATCATTGATAAACTGTTATAGTTTTTGTTCATATTTTGAATTATACTTTATATTTATATTTTCATTTAAAAAAAATTAAGTTTTAGTAACTTTGTTGTGTGTTTCTGTCAGATTTATTAGTTACATGCTCACTGCAATGTCCGTGAATTTATCAGCAGTAGCACGTCTTGGTTCTTGCTCTGCAGCAGCATAGCAGATCTATTCCGCCAAGACCACACACATTAACATCTCCATATCCATTACCATTACCATGCCAATCTCTCTGAGAGTTGTCATGACAGAAATACAGTAACTACATGTAACGTGTAACAAGGACACTGTCAAATAAAGTGTTACCTTTCTTTCTTTTTAAAAAAATCTTCTCTTTCCTATTTCTCAGGTACAGCAGGTTCAGGTGTTCGCTGATGTCCAGTGCACGGTAAACCTGGTGGGCAGTGACTCCTACCTTAACCAGTCGGGGCCCATCGGGACCCAGAAAGGCCCGAGCGGGACCCCCACAGTCCAGTCTCAGCAGAAGAGTCTCCTCCAGCAGCTCCTGACCGAGTGAGCCGCCCATTTACCATCTGCCAGAGGACTATCTCCACATGTAGAGATTTTTATTCTTCACCTTTGGTTTCGATACAGTATATCTGCAGGGTCGGTGTCTGGGCCCAGGCTTGTGAGGTTTCATAGCTGTTCGACAAAGTGCTCATTCCTGGTCACATTTTAAAACGCCTGTTTCCGAAAAGGAGAAAAGATCACGTTCCAGAATTTGCCAAGTCTGTAAAAAGGACCTGCTGCTTCTGCCGGCTACACGTGCTGTCAGTCAGGCCAACGTTGCAGTGCTTCTTGGAGAGCGGCGCAGCAGCTGAACTCGGATTGGAAACTGGGGCAGGCTTTTGCCATGGTGTTGCTATGTTCATGGTATATTGCTCAGTTTCAGCTGGATCTGTGACTGATAGGCTCTCCTCAGCAGTGCCTGATGATGGGAGGAACTTCCCGCCTCTTTTTATTTCTTAGTCTGTTCTGTTTGGTTTTTTTTGTCTGTTGTTTCATTTGTTTTTGTCTGTTGTCGTTTTCAGAACAAGCATCGCCAGGATGGGAGACTGCTGTGTAGTGCGTATCCGTCTGCCGCAGGCTTTCCTGGCAACACTGTTTTGATACAACAGACAGGTTTTTTTTTTAACAACGTCCTACACATTTCCCCCCCTCAGCAGCTGTGAATACGACCCACATAGGGTCAACTCAGCCTATCAGTGTTGTTTGCAGCGACGTGTTGTGCTGGTTGGTATTATTGTACAGCACAGACGGTCAAAGTTGGGACAAGCTCACACTTTGTAATTTCCTTTAAAACAAAACATCATCAAATTTCAGGCAACTCTTGTTTAGAACGCATCAACATAACAGCAGTTTTTTTTTTTTAATGACTAAATCTGTATTGTCACTTTTTGTTATTTTAAAAAGTAATCATCCAGTAGGGTCTCATGGGTCTCACATATCAAGTGAGAGAGACTCGGATTTTTACGATTGATATTGGTTATCGAACACCCCGGTAAATGTTACAAACTTTCTGCTGCATTGCACACAGGTGCGAAAATGTAGATTGTACATTAATTTTCATTATACAGTTGAGTGTTTCAAAGATGCTCTTGAAAACGACGGGAGGAGCGAGGTGTTGTCTCGCGCAACGTTCGCACCGTCAGCTGCGTTCTCTAGCTCTTTGACTGCTCATGAGACTACTGTTGCCCAGTCAGACACTGTTCATCAGCATTATCCTTTATTCATTTACCTACTAGTCACCCCCTCTTAAGAATCATTTAAATTTGATTCCAACCTAAACATTCGAAAACGTAATTCTTGGAAGGTATCAAATTGTCATGCCCACATAAAGACTTGCTGTGGTCGAAATTGATGTCTCTGTGTGAGCACGAAGTATTTCACAAAATCGTGCAACGCAATCGGAGCACAACTCGAAATCGTGTTGCATGCGCAACCGTCTCCCCTCCTCACATCATTTCGTTCTCCTTTAACAGTGTTCTTTTGTTCGTGACTCACTCCGTGGAGTTTAAGTGCCGTGTCTTTGTGCGTGTGCTCTGTATACAAAGAATGGCTCCAATGCTACACCAGCTTAGATTGTCCTTACAGGAATTATTTTTACAGTTTCGTAAAATTGATCCTCATTCGTCTACGAAATTCAGCCAGCAGTATGTGCTGTTGAGATCAAGCCACTTTTTGCTATATATAAATGTACATAGACATTACAAAAAGCAAGATGAATTGACAAATGCATAACATAAAAGTCAGTCTGTGTTTTTTCCCGTTTTTGGCTCACCGAAAAAACACAGACTCCGTAATGATTAATTTCTGCCCTCCTCTTTGGGAAACAGGCATTCCTGTATAGAAAAAAAAAAAGTATGCAGTGGATAAGATTCATTTAATGAACCCTTCCTGTCATCATTACTGTGTTTATGCCAAATATACCAAACTAGCAAACAGCGGCTATTAATAATGTTTTTATTGTTTCGTTTTGTCGTTTATAACGGCTCTCACAGTCAGTACACAACACCAAGGTACAATAGAACTATTCAGAACCTGGATTATCAAAGTATTGTGTATATAACAGATAAATGTGAATATGTATCTGTTCAGAATCAACAAAATGTAGTGCTCCAAGTTTGTGGTAATAACTACTTGCTTCCATTTTGTTTTTGTTTTATTTTTGTTTTTGTTTTTTTAAATGTGTATGGCTGTCTGAAAGTGTGTATGTGTGATTAATACTGTATATCTGGTGTTTAATATGGAAAAACAGACACATGTCCTGATTTTTTTTATTTTCTTTCTTTCTTTCTTTCTTTCTTTTTTAATACCTGCAACTTTTCCTGTGGGTGTTGAGATTGCTCTATATGTGAGAATGGTTTAGCGACTGCTGAATGTGACTTTGCTGAGGGAGAAGCAGCATGGACTGGCTTTTGTACGGGTTAATTTAAAAAAAAAAAAGGCCATATTATTTAATTTCTCTGTTGTCAAAGTTTAAACAGCTCTGAAAAAGTGGAACCTTGGTTTGAGAACAGCGCCGGGTTATTGTAGTGGGGTTTCGTTAACTGCCTGATGTAGTTTTGCCATGTGTAAACGCTCTTAAGACAAGAACGAAATAATGACCAAAGCTTCAAGATACTAAAAGATTCATATCATATGCAAGGTTCATGCAATTGGACAAATGTAGCACTGAGTTTTTCCTGAATAGGTGTCCCGTAACACTACCATTTTGTTCCACACTTTTAATTTATTGTTTAGACATTTTTTCCCCCCTAGCTGGTTTGATTATTTTCGAAGATGTTCAGTAGTGAATTATCTTCAGACATTCCCCCGTTGCTACAGATCTACCAAACATGCAAATGCCTCTTCGGGAGGAACTTTAGTCACCGTTTTCAGGAAGACAGATTTCTAACCGCTAGCTATGCACGTTTAGAGGTTGAATGAAAAGCATTTGGCTTTTGTTTTAAAAATGACACTACTCAGAATGGATTATTGCTTCGACTGCAGTATTCTAGCGATGCATGCTAACAATTATCTCCTGTTTTTCCTCTATTTTGTTTATTAACTCAAGGATATACATAATTTGTAGTTCGAAACTAGTGGTTTCGAGCTACTCGGGCTAAAAACGAGAAAAAAACATACTGATGCAACTCTACTTAGATATTTGACTTTATTTAGCTGGATTCTTTATACCAAATTTGAGGTGCCTCTTGTACATATTTTCAGCATAGAGGACTGCTCCTCGCCGTTTGATGGACGTTTCTTGTTTATGAGGATTTTCTTATACTGACGTTTGTAAGACTTTTGCTGTATTTTACATGAATTTTTTACTAAAAACCTAAATGTACCAGGAACTTGCAAGGAATACAATCTAGTTTTGCACTTTACATGAACTACAAGGAAAGAGGCCATGTCAAAATCCGAATATATGTTGGCGAAAAAGAACGAATATCCCCTGAATGTATTTTCGCAAAGTGAAACGCCATTTCGCTTTCCACGGAAAATCAAAGCGCATCTCAGGTTCTTCAGGAAGAACTTGGCTTGTCAGGCCCTCCTCATTGGATCTGTTAAACGAGCAGGGTAGCGGAGCCTTTGCTACATGGGTATTTTTCTGCTGCAGAACCATAGATCTAACTATGCCTATCTTCTTCAGGTGCACCACCTCCCCTTTGCCCCGTCCTTTTAGACCTCCTGGCTTTATCTTTTCAAGACATTCCTCATCTTACTCTGCTTTCTGTTCATCGTGGTCTGTATCGTAGTGTCGCTTCAGGCCCCGCACGCTCAGTGCCAAAAGTGCTAAGATCCATTTATGCAAACTCGTACAATCTGCATTTCCTCATATCATAGTAGCGAATCCTACAAACACCACACACTCTCCTCGTCATTCATCTCTACATGGTATCATCTACAGTAGCTACTGTTTACCTGAGATTTTTCACATATTGTAAGTGCTGCCTTATTAATATACAGACATTAGTTGTATTTGGTGAAGGGAAGTGGTGCTTGTAGCTCCACTGAAACGGCGCTCGTTCTTTCAAGGCAAGGTCCCACTTTTCACCTGTAAAATTAATATAAATAAACAAATATATATAGATATATACATTTGTCCAGTTTTGTATAATACTTGTGAACGTTTTTTTTTTCTTAAGAGGTATCATTGCAGCTGTGTGTGGGACATTATGAATGAAGATGTATCTGGGAGACTTCTGCATGTCTTGTCATGTTTTTATTTTTTTGTTTTCTCTAAATCCAGGTTTATCTGGAGAATCCTACCTTTCTTAGGACGTTGTAGACAATCAGTCACATGCTGGGTCCAGCACCTGCAGGATTGTCCTGCGGGCTGCAAAACTGTGTTTCGCATCTACTGAATCAGTCTTATTTTTCTTGTCCATTTCATGGAATTATGTGGCTGCTCAAACTGAGATTTGAAGTTTACACGCATACATTTACACACACACACATGCATACACTCAGACAAACAAGAAACATTCACTCACACCTCGTGCATATGGCCCCTTTGTTGCTTTTCCAAGGTGAAGATACATACCTTGAAGGAAATGATGCTTTGACTAACAAATCTCTATAACATCCATGAATGTGAGAATGCAACACATTGCAATAAAGCACCATGTAAAAAGAAAAAGGGCTGCCGGTGCCATCTTTATATCTAGGGATGTGAATTGTAAGGAATTTAAAGTGTTTAAAATCAGTTCCATTAATGATTATTTTGCATTTGAGGAAGAAATATTTGGAAATGCAATGCAAAGAACGTACTGTATTTTTAACAAGGTCAGTTTTGATTCACTACAAAGAACACCTGCTCATAAGAGTCGTTTCCTCTAGAATGAACCGTGCTATACGCCCACACTGAACATTTGCAGACATCCCATCCTGCAAAACCTCGATTTAGGGAAGCAGCATCAAGACAGATATTACTTTAATACCCTAGAAATGGGCCTTCTTTCTCTCTTGCTAGATTTCCGAGTGTTTATATAATTTGCGGGCGTCTAGGGAGCTGCTATCAATTAGCAAGAGACTCCCGGACCTTCCTGGAGAGGCGGGATGTCTGCATAATATGGACCTTAACAAACCAGTCCAGAATTACTGACCCATCATTGTCAGCACATACATAATTATGTGTCTTAATTTTAACTCTTCCAGTGAATCATCAGTAGGGGCCTACATTTAAAAAATGCTGAGGATCATTGCAGATTCCATATAGATTAAATTTATTACCCATTATGTGGAATGAATACATTGTTTCCATTTCAAATTTTAAAAATGTTTTTTCAATATATTTAAATCGCCATACTGGTACAATTCCATAACTAATTAGCATTTTGCTACACAGATATAACAGGAGACAAAATGTGGATGAAAGTCAAAAAAATGTGATGGTAAGACTGTTCCAACAACTTCATTCTTAATGCTACATTCCATTCTGACCAGTGTTTGTGTTTATATTGTACAATACATGCAGAATTCATTTGAAAAGCTTGAACTTTTTTAGAAAGGGCTGCACAGTCTCCTTAGGGTAGGGCTTCAAAGCCAAGCATGTGGGGATATCCTCTGGCTGCTCCATCCATAGTTTATGTGCTATATCTTTTTCACGTAGAGTACTGGAAAGAGTGGAGAGAGAAGCCTCATCTGGTGCCTGTGGGGGAAAAATGTTTTCTTGGTTTAAAAAAAAAAACAAGTACTTAAAATATCTGTATACTATGTGTATATATAACCTCAATTATTCATTAATTTGCCACTAGTTAATCTGTTGATGGCTTTAAGTGTATTTCTTAACAAAACATTACTATACTGCTTCTAAAGGGTCAGAAACACATGGTGCATGTGATGTAATTGCAGTACTAACCTGAAGTACCACTTTGTGCATGCTGTCCAGTTCTGCCAAATATTCCTGTGTGTCAGGGTCACTGTAGTGTAAATGAATGGCTGCAGTGGCCGCATGACAGGCTTGAGTTATAACCGCCCCTAAAGGCCATGATAAAGCGTGTATCAGGTCTGATCGGACGATGACATACTGGACTAAACGCTTGGACGTGCCACCACTCGGCGTTGCCATTTTATTGAATGTGAAAATTGCCAGACCGGAAATGACACAGTCAGCGGGTTCTTGTTTACGTTCCGGGTTTATTTCCTTACCGGTAAAGTTATTGACTGGATGCCCTCTACTGGTTGTTTGAGAACCCTGAGCATTGATTTAATATTAACCCATAAGAACCCGGACAAATTTCTTCTTATATGATAATTATGGGGCATATAAAACACCAAATGGACCACTTATAACATGTTTCTGCAGTTGTTTTTGAAATACAACCCCTCCTTGTGAAAGATCTGTAGCTAATGTTACATGTGACATTGGGCGTTTATGATACATTGGGCGTTTATTTCTGTTTATTTTTATTTCACAACATATATCTCATAACAATGACTCATTCATTCATATATCAAAATTATTACTTTTCTGGGAAGATAGCCGAGGTGATAACCAGGCATTCTTTGCGAAACGTATCAAGCCATGGACGGATCTTCATGAAGATGGAGGAATCAAAAGAAAGCTCATTTGTACATTGGAATGTTCTTGATCACTTCGGTTAGTAATAAAGATGTTTTTACTTTTATCGCACTAGGTTTTCTGAAATATGTGTGGTATATGTAATAGAATATGCTAATAAATTGAAAACCTTTTGGTAGAAGAAAAACATTCCTCTATATGTCGTTTTCAAAAAAACAATTTCTTGTTGGTATAATCCTCTATAATAATCCTAAATAGATGTTAACTGAAGTAAAATATTTTATTTCACCTAATTGCACTTAATAAAAACTATAATAGTAGTTTGGTGAGGGTTATTATAATATAACTATAATAATCTCAATGATCCTAAAATAACCAGCCTGGCTAGATGGGGAGACTAGTTTAAACAAGCAACCCCATTTAGGTTGGTTTAAATGGACCTTTTTCTACATGATTTTGAGAGGTAATAAACTGGCAACAATTAATTAACAGCTCTCTAGTAATGTGGATTAAAAAAGAAGAAAAAAATGAACAACTTTCTGTGCCAATTTCACATTTTTATAAACAGACTTTAATGATTGCCATGCCATGCCATATTATTTTCTCCTAAACATACAGTGATCAAACAACTTTGCGGAGTCTTCCTCATATTTGTGTCCTACAGTGTGTAACTCAATAGACCTGAACTGGAACTTTCAGCTCAGAAACTTTAAAGGGACAAAGTAAAAAAAAAAAAAAAAAACCTCTCTGTCCACCTCTTAAAATCATTAAAATGAGCTGATGCCCATTGCTCGTCTCATTTGCTCAAATGTAAGCCAGAAAGTCAAAGACCAGGGAGCCTGGGAACAAAAACATAGTTAAAATAGCAACAAAAGAGAATAAATCTTTAAACAAACATATTTTAAATCATAGTACCATTCTAAACCAAGTTGGTAGAAATCCTTTATAGAGGGAAAAAAATCCTTCTCTTCTCACCGACTGAACAAGACAGCCAGTAGAAGACTTGTAGAGAAGACCCCTGCAAACAGAATGATAAAAATATGTTGTTATAACAAAGCTAATGTTCTACTACTACTCAGCTTTGATTAATACACAAAACTAACCTTCCGTTTGAATCCCGTGGCTGGTTCATTACTCTAGTTTTCACAACATCAGCTGGTGTTCCCATAATAGCTGCAACCAATCCTGAGCATATGCTATAAAAAATGTTGAACATGAGTCATGACGTTATTACTGTATGTGTTAACATTAGTAGAATAACAGAATTTCACCTTGCCAATCCATGACAAATGCTGTTATCCGGCATGGAGGTGTTTCTCAGTAGAAAATGCTTCACTGTATCATATGTCATGAGATCTAAATGTGAAATAAAACGAAAAATATTTGATGTATTGCAAAAATGTAGCTGTCAACAGATTTCTAGAAGTCTTTGACTTCTGTACCTCCTAAATTGACTAGGGCAGCTCTCTGAACGTTGGGGACCCATCCTGCCCAAAGGCCTCTGATTCCTCCCTCTGCTATGATCTTTGTAAAAGCATGGTAAACCCCATGTACTCTGTCAGTTTAAAAAACAACAACATGCATTTAGAACGAGTACACTCATACAATAAAGGTTCCAAAAGGATGTTTTCACAGCAATGTCATAGAATAACCTTTTTGGTTTCCCCTAAGAACCTTTCAATGATCTTCTTTTTTTTTAGTGTGAAGAAGAACATTTTAATAATCTGAAGACCCTTTTTCCACTGTAAAGAACCTTTTGTGCAATGGAAAGCTTATATGGATATTAAAGGGATATTTCACCCAAAAATGAAAATTCTGTCATTAATTACTCACCTTCATGTCGTTCCGAACCCGTACGATTTTCGTTCACCTTTGGAACACAAATGAAGCTTTATTCATCATATAAAGCGATCAAGTCTCTTCAGAAAATTTGGACTAAACCGCTCGATTCATATGGATTAGTTTTACGATCTCTTTATGAACTTTTTGAAGCGTTTGCAACGAAGGGATCAGAAAGCTGTCAGATTTCATCAAAAAGATCTTCATTTGTCTTCCAAAGATGAACGAAAGTCTTACGGGTTTGGAACGACATTAGGGTGAGTAATTAATGACAGAATTTTTATTTTTGGGTGACGCATTATGGCTGTGCCTCACCTTGGTGGTTTCCCTTCAAGTCGACGCCTGCCCTCCATTTGCATTTGAACTTTCACTAGATCTGTTGGACTAGCGATGAACTGGCCCAGAGCACCTGAAATCATACTGCCGATCACTGCTTTCCTATGGACATCACAGGACACATGCTGATCCCGTCTATTTAGACTTTAATCACTGTCCTGTTTCAAATTTCACAGATGTTTCCCTCACCAAACTGGAAAAATGCCATCTTCAGATCTTCCCAAGACAGATTCCCGGAGCTGTTCATAGGCCAGCATCCTGCCGCCTGAATACACTAAGGATGAAGAATTTCAAAGTTCAGAAGTTGATTCAAATACATGCGGTTGGACATCAAATCAAGTTCATTAGGATTTCATTACATCCATGTGGAAAATGTATAAAGTAGGATGTGACAATTCTTATTGTTATGGAATATTGCAGTATTTATTATAAATGATTTATCCTTGTACATCAATTTGGAATAGATCACTTCAAAATGAAAATCCTGTCATCATTTACTCACAAGAATGTCAGTTACAAGACAGTTGATGAACCCCATTGACTTCCATAGTAGGAAAAGAAAATAGTATGGAAGTCAATGGGGTTCATCAACTGTTTGATTACCAACATTCTTCAAAATATCTTCCTTTGTGTTCAGCAGAAGAAAGAAATTCATACAGCGACATCTCATCTCTTCTCAGATGATGCGTTTACTGGCGGGACAACCTGTCACTCACATGAGATCACAGCAATAGCAAACCACAATGATCCAGTCCATTCCCGATGGACAAAATCAAATCCTGTCCTACATTTTTCTTGTTCGAGAAGTTGTTTCACTCAGATATGTCACAATAGAGAAGAGAAGACTATCACAACTTTTGTTTCATGCCGACTTTAACATTTTACCTATATGTCTGTAGATAGCTGGTGTGACCCCTCGCCACAGTTTCAAGGGCCCCTCTTCTCGCACTATACCCATAGCTGTGCTCAGCATGCCCCTGTATTTTGGAGGCTGTACACTTCCACCATGCTGTCGGGAACCACCTTCACCCTGTATCTGAAGTCTGGTTTTAGTAAGGTCCAGAGGGAATGTGACTAAAATTAAAATTGTATAAAAATCACCACAGAGAGGTGCATACATTAGGTAGCGTAGATATTATATATATATATATATATATATATATGTGTATATATATATATATTAATGTATTTAAAAAATATATATATATATATATATATTTTTTTTTTTAAATACATTAATTATTTTCAAAAACTATAAAGTATACGTATCTACCTAGTTCTGCAACAGTTGCTGCACATGCTGACAGAGTGAACTTTGATACTCGAGGCCACCGCGAATTTTCTTGTACAGGATGCATTGCAGGTCACGTCCTCTGATTCCCACTAAAAAAAGAAATGAATAAATTATAAAAAGTAATTCTACATCATTTCTCCCAAAAGAACCACGAGCCTGGAGTGTATGTTCTTTAAATGTTTACATTGTTAAAGACAGGACTACTACCTTTAAAAAGAGGCGAAGGCGTTTTTTACCCAAGCCGGTTGGTCGGTGTAGTTAACGACCCTCTTACGTAATACGTGAAACTACAAAAGAACCGTCATGCACCTAAAACCACATTTCCCAAATCAAAGGGGCGTCGATATACATACGTAAGACAAGCTCCTTGCGTAAGACCGGCCGTGATTTTCGTACGCATGCGCTTTTCTGCGGCATATTAATATTTAAATACTATTAAAGAAAACATCTATCTATCTATCTATCTATCTATCTATCTATCTATCTATCTATCTATCTATCTATCTATCTATCTATCTATCTATCTATCTATCTATCTATCTATCTATCTATCTATCTATCTATCTATCTATCTATCTATCTATCTATCTATCTATCTATCTATCTATCTATCTATCTATCATCTTTTATATATTATATTAAAATCGAATTGTCGAATACACAAAAATAATTGATTAAGCTCTGACTACAAAGCTACAAACCACCAGTCATCACTGTAATAGCAGTATCAGCAATAAATTGTTTTTTACTGCCATCTGGCGTCTTGTAAATTTAATTTCATACGAAGTTCAAACATTTATGGATGGACACATTTTATTGAATGTTGCTGTAAATGTCACTTATATTAAAATAAATAAGCGAGTTCTTGTATTTTTATTCTTCTAACATATCTATAATAATAATAATATAGACTAATTATTTATTAAAATGAGCATTTAGTTGCAAATTGTTTGTATTGCATATATCAATTGTCAAAACAAGCTATGGAACAAAGACTTAGATTATTAAAATTACAGATGCCAATTACAGCAGCAGTTTAATCTATTACGTGAAGCCTACTTTTAGTGTCAACATGTTTTACATAAGCATACGCGTCAAAGTCCTTACATCCAGAAACTCTTGAAAATGTATGCTTAAATGCTTGTTAAAGGTATGGCATCCAAGCGGCATAGTATTAGGTTTACTGCCATTCCAAATGTATCAAACAATTCATTGTAGGTTAACAAATTACTAACTAACTAGGTTAATCTAAAGGGGGCAGTTAAATGTGACGTCACACACAAAGCCATCTATGGTTGCGCTTTCTCATTTCAATCAGCCTATAGTCTGCAGAGCGGCGGAGCAAAAACACCACAGAGGTAAGTAGGTCGAACATAAAACTACTTTGAAATGTTTTATGATTTAAATTAATTATTCAAACGAATACACGTTTTCCCAGTTGGAGTTATGGATTAATCTAGCCTCTTTAATGCGGTGTGAGTGCCTTTTACGTACACAAAGTGTTTTTTTGTTTTGTTTATTTATGTGTATTTCGGGATTAAATCTGCGTGATGATTAGATTCAAATCCTGTGTGATTCACAAAAACTGCTTCAATACAAATTTTCACACATTTCTTTCACTTTCCGTGTTAAGATTCGCACTTCCGCATTGCTTGATCAAATGATAATCCTCGTGCTCAGCTGTAAAAGCCGTCCAGGCGTTTTTTAATTATGCCTCATTATGTCTTAACCCTATGGTATTAATCTTGCAGGCCACACGTATTATTTCCTTAATCAAAATTTAAGATAAGTAATTATATTTAGCATCTGCAATAAGCCGGTAGGGTGCGGCGTTGCAATTCTCAACTCGTCCAGAGAGGGCGCTAAATGAATAGTGAATAGAACGTGCATGTCTAAATCAGTTCAAACAATTTATTCAGCATGTTTGTTGTTAATAATTGCGAGGACGCAATTAAATTAACTATAATGTATTATTCCAGACTCTAAGATAGATAACAGGAATATCAGTATGCCTATATCTTAATAAAGACTTTCAATGACAATTTGTGAGTAATACAGTAAATAGATTGAGTAATATAAAAAGGAAGGCCTTTAGGCCTACACTATTAACATTCATGTATAATTTCAGTGGCAAAGATGAATGTGGAACATGAAGTTACGCTGCTCATTGAAGAGATTCGTCGACTGGGCAGTAAAAGTAAGTCTTGTACTATTTTAGATCAACACAATTGTTTAGGATAGTCTAAATTTGTTAGTGAAAATGCATATTTTTACCTATAAATGACAAATTATAATATTAAAGGGATAGTTCACTCAAAAAAGGAAATTCTGTCATCATTTACTCACCCTCAAGTTGTTCCAAACCTGGTTGGTTTCTTTCTTCTATTGAACACAAAAGAAGATATTTTTAAGAATGTTCGTAATCAAACAGTTGACGGTAGCCATTGACTTCCATAGAAAAAAAAAAAAAGTCAATGGCTACCGTCAACTGTCTAGTTACCAACATTACTTAAAATGTCTTTTTGTGTGTTTAACAGAAGAAAGAAATGTATACAGGTTTGGAACAACATGAGGGTGAGTAAATGATGACACTACTTTCATTTTTGGGTTAACTATCCGTTTAACAATTTAAAATGTTGAATCGAAAATTTACATTAATTTAGCAATGTCTTAGTATTTGGTGTCTCATTTTTGCATTAATGTCAGCAGCATGATTAGAAAATGATCCTAGGTGCATCTTGTGCTTTAATGGAAGAACCTCTGACCGACTGTACAAAAGTGTTTAGGTGATCAATGTCACAAATTTGCATATTGGTTTGGTGGCCTAAATATAACGCTTAAACTAAAACATTGAAATAGGAGCTTTACTGCTCATTCTGAAATCTCAATTGTATGATCATAAATAATTTTTTCCGTGATGAGTTTAGTTTCTGTTAGTCAGCATACAAATGCAGGTGTCTTTGTTGTATTTGGCTTTCCTATCCACTCAAACCAGGCTGATGATTCCTCATACTGCTCGCTGTTCTTGAGATTTGCAAACACTGATTCTGTATCGATTCTGTATTCTCAGTGCTTCAACAAGTAATACATGTTAATGGGAGACTTTCAGCGTTGTTAATGAATGATATAGAGCAAACCCTGACCACTCTTACTTGTCTCGCAGACGCCGATGGAAAGATCAGCGTCAAATTTGGAGTCTTGTTTAATGATGACCAGTGCGCAAACCTCTTTGAAGCTCTGGTCGGAACGCTGAAAGCGGCCAAGCGAAAGAAGATCATCACTTTTGAAGGGGAGCTACTACTGCAAGGAGTTCACGACAACGTAGATGTCATATTACTGCAGGACTGAGTTTGACAGTCTTTTCTAAACCTGAGTGAAAAAGTACAAATGTTTTTGACATGTCATTGCTACATTTTGATATGGAAATATACTTGAGAATGTAACATTTTTTGTATACTTCATTGGAATATTTTTATACAGCATTTTTTTTTTCTCTCAGGGGAGTGATTTGCACACACGTTTGTTTTGAAAAGTAGCAATTTTCCCTGTTCAAACAGCCATATCATTGAAATATATCATAACAGTTATAGTAGTGTGCATGATCATGTTACTATGTTTCTGGAACTTTGAATGAATTCAATTCTGCCTACACTCTTACAAATAAAGTTTTTTTTTTTTCAGCGATGCCATAGAAGAACCATTTTTGATTCCCCAAAGAAACTTAGTAAACAGTATACTTAAAAAGAACCATTTTCTTTTCTTAGTGTGACAAACATTTTAACCTTTTGTGGAATGGAACGTTTTCATGGATGTTAAAGGTTCTTCATGGAACCATCAATGTCAATAAAGGGCCTTTATTTTTAAGAGTGTATAACAATTGCATAATTGCTCTTTCAACAGTAATCATGAGATTGTTTGATTTGCAGTACCATTACTGTGAAATTATTAATTGCATGCATAGTCATTCAAGTTATATGTGCCAAAACATGTCAAAGGCTGATAAATATGATTAGTAGCTAAGTAACATTTATCTGCTGTAAGATTTTCTGGAATGAAATGAACCAAGTTTGACAAATCATCTGCAAATGTTCCAGGGTGATATTTTATAAAGCTCTTGTGAAAACATCCCCATATTGTACTTGTGTTATTCTTGTTCTATGTCTGTACAAATGTTACATAGGACTCCTAATGGTGCAGTTTGTGCCATTTCACGCTCAGGAATAGAAACTAGAGGCTGTGTCTGAAATCACATTCTCTCTTGAGTAGGTACTCATTTTGAATAATTAATTACTTTCCAAAAGTTTTTAAAAAGTATGTTCTATATAGCATGAATAAGCTTGAAAAAAGTTTTTCATTTTGTTTTGTTATAGATAAATATATGAATCTACTGCAACCTCAACATTTTAATCTGACTTGAAATTTCCAATTTGTAGTATGCATATGGATGTCTGTGTTGCTGTCTTTGATTTCTGTCTTGTTATGGTTCATTTGCTTTCAGAATGGCTGGAGACAGTTTATTGAAAATTGCAATAAACTCTGTCATATAAATAAATGAACTGAATTTAAAACACTTTGTCTTTCAAATTCATGACCAGTACTGGATTATAGACCTGAATGGTACAATTAAAAGCCTATGTTGTTTTTACCTTTGACTTTTAGAGATCCTGATTTTGAATTCAAAGTAAAAAAAAATTGTCAAATGTTCTTTGTAGAACTTTTCCAGGCATCTAGCTGTAAAAAAAAACATTTTGTTCTAATTAGAACCTTGTTTTTTAAAAAATGTAACCATGATCAACTAAATTAAGATAACTGCTCAAATAGCACGTTCATCACTTTTGGTTTTCAAATAATTTTAGCAGTGTGTCGATTATTTGCTCGGGACTCCCTTCAGTCTGCGCTATTAATAACTCTGAGCTCTGGGTCTGGATCAGAGATGGAGGCGGGGCCAGAGGAACATTCTCTCTTCAGAGCAGGAATCAAAACAAGAGAGGGACACGCCTTCTTCATGGTGTACCTCTGCTGTCAAGACTGCCTGCACAAATCTGGAGGATCATAATCGAACTGTAACATCTGCATCTACCGTGCATTAAGATTCGCAGTAGATTCGTCAAGCACCCTCGACATGATATCCGCAGAAATGCTCGATGGCGGTCGCTGACAGGCTGCATTCATACTGAGCGCTCCATTATGCCCAACCAAAAAAGCAACAAGGGGAAGAGAAATAAACGCACGAATAGTAGCGGGGACGAGCAAGAAAATGGAGCCTGTGCGTCTGCGGTTACAGGAGGAACTGCCTCGGTGTTGACTGGAGCCACAGCGGGTCCGCCGAGCGACAGCATAAGCGGTAAGAACGTCACTTCAGTGAATGTTCTATATGACGGTACGTTTCCCTGAAAGTGCGCGCGCGTTACCTTCCTTCTAACGTTCTCTCACTTGTAGCAACTTGTTGTGTGTGTGTGTGTGTGTGTGTGTGTGTGTGTGTGTGTGTGTGTGTGTCTGTCATCGCTATCAGAATGATTACGACTCCCACTTATCGTCCTGCACTGTAAGGTGGTTGTGTAGGCCTTGCTCAAGAGTGAATACACTTGGCATGGAGTTGCATGTGATTTGGAGATAAAATGTTGTGTGTGTGTGTGTGGTGTGTAATGGCATGTCATATCTTCACCGTAATGATGTGCAAGTAGAGTGTTTAATAATGCATTGAATGGCTATGGCTCCTGAGGAAATGGAAGTGGTGTTATATTTTTTTGAGTGGCAGCTATGAACAATGGAATGTCAGGGCGCAGGTAATCATAGCTCTCTTTTCATATTTAGTAGTACTACAGCATGATATTGTGTTTATTATTATTATAATAATTTATAAGTAACTCAAATACAAATTGGTCAATTAGTTTGTAAATGTCTTCACCACAAACAAAAATCGTTAAAAAAAAAACCTTTTGTGTGTCATTTAGCAATGCATAGACTGAAATCTGTATTGGAACCACTTTTATGAGAGGCTGCACTCTGTGTTTTAATTTTAACATGGCAAGAATTTTAACATTAGTGAGAAAAACCCACTCTGAGCTAGAGAAAACACCAACATGCTCTTTGCTGCAGCCGGCTTTACAGAACTTTGCTTCAGTTCATGAGAGAAAACAGTTCTTTCACTTTATGCTTCACTAGTCTGGTTTGAAAGGTAGTGAACACTTCGAAGTGGAGTGATTCAAACAGAAAAACAGCTATCTTTGAAAGCCACTGTCCAATCAAATGTGAAGACTGGAACTAAATGTTGTATAATTGTCTTTCTCTGTCTCTCATGGGACACACATACACACTTCAACTTCATTCACAGGAGTGTTGTGTAATATTTTTTTCGTTTTGAGTGGGATTTGCACCCACAGAGTTATTATGAATTGAAATGATGTATTGAATGCACTGACATTGAACATTCTGCCAATAAAGCAGCTTGAATCACACTATCTATAAATAGATGTCCCTTAATGAATTTTGTGAATTTGTTTTATTCTAATGTTTCTTATGCAATTTTTTTCAGGTTTATTTATTAATTCAGTCATTACAGCAGCATACAGTACAATACATTTAACCAAATATCATATTTATTTAGTGTTTTTAATATAAGCCATTGTAAACTGAATTACAGATATTTTCCTTTAAAGCAACAGTTCAACCAGAAATGTGCATTCTGGCATAATTTCCTCACCCTCATGTTGTTACAAGCTCATATGACTTTCCTGGGGCACAAAAAAAGGTGTTTGGCTCTGTCATAATTTACTTTCATTGCATCCTTTCTTCACCTGCAATGAAAGCACGTAATTCTGACATCTCTTTTTCTGTTCCACTGAAGAAAGAAAGTCATACAGGTTTGGAACCACATGAGATTGAGTAAATGATGAAAGAAGTGTCATTTTTATGTGAGCTATTCCACTGCATTAACCCTAAGTTAATATAATCTTCATTGTGTTTGGCAGAGTCCACATGTGCCACCCCATTAGTGTGCAGTCTGGGCCGTCCCGTTGACCTTGAGAAGGACGACTACCAGCGTGTGGTGTGCAACAGTGAACTCTGCCCCTACGGCAATTGGATGCACCTACAGTGCTTCTATGAGTGGGAGAGCAGCATCCTGGTGCAGTTCAACTGCATCGGCCGGGCCCGCAGCTGGAACGAGAAGCAATGCCGACAGAACATGTGGACCAAAAAGGGCTACGATCTAGCCTTCCGCTTCTGCTCCTGTCGCTGTGGCCAGGGACACCTGAAAAAAGACACTGACTGGTACCAGGTGAAACGCATGCATGACGAGCGCAAGAAAAAGATGCCAGAGAAAGGGAGCGGGAAGCCCAGCTGTGGTGCCTCCGTAGGTGGCGCTTGCGGCGGAGTTGGGCCGGAAGTTGCCGATGAGCCCAAGAAAGGGAAATCATCTGCAAGCCATAAGCTAGCTCACCGTGGCTCCTGTCAGGAACTGTCTCGCAGACAATCGGTAGATTGGCAGAACTCTCAGGAGAGATGTCACGCCGGTCCTCCCAATGCCATCGGCGGGGTTTCCCATGGGCTCCGCTCCCCATGCGAATCCCCCGCTCAGTCCCCTCCGTCGGGCTTCGCCTCCTTTCTCCCCCCGTCCCTCGGTGGCCCGCGTAGCTCAAGGCACCTGGGCGAGTTTCTAAAGAATGCGGTTCATACAGAAGGCCACAGGAGGCATTTGCTGTCCGGAGGTCTGGTGGCACGTGGGGCTCACCTTGAGCAGGGAGCCGCCAACATGTGCCTCCCTCGACTTTCTCCCGGAGACAACCCTGTGCAGTTCCTGAGGAGGCTGGATCTTTCAGAGCTGCTCACACACATTCCCCGCCACAAGCTCAACACATATCATGTGCGAATGGAGGACGATGCCCAAGCCGGACAGGGAGAGGATCTCAGGAAGTTCATCCTCTCTGCGCTCAGTGCGAGTCACCGCAATGTGGTGAACTGTGCCCTTTGCCATCACACCCTGCCCATCTTTGAGCAGTTCCCTTTAGTGGATGGAACGCTGTTCCTGAGCCCTTCACGCCATGATGAGATTGAGTATGATGTACCTTGCCACTTACAAGGTGAGCGAATCCACTATTCACACTCGAAAGGGGTTTCTCTTGAAAATATTAGGGTGGGAAAGTTATTCTTCATTAGTGTCACATAAACTTCTCAGCTCGCACAGCAAAGAATATCTGTTGAAATCTAAATGAATTCATTCATAAATTACAAAGATTTACAGAATTCATTTTAACTGTAATTCTGTTTACATTCAATAAAATTTTCATTAAACAAGTTTCTCTTCATATTTTCAGTCTCCAAACTTTGTTGTGCAGTCACTTCAATATCATTATATATAATGTGTTTTGGAGAAAAACATTTATTTCATAATAAGATTGTTTTACTTCGTTGAAAGGTTAGATTTTTGTCAAATTTTATATATATATTTGCTATATATTTGTGTGTGTATATATATATATATATATATATATATATATATATATATATATATATATATATATATCATGCATCCCTAAATTATATTTTTACTCAACACTTAACATATATATATATATATATTATATATATATATGTTAAGTGTTGAGTAAAAATATAATTTAGGGATGCATGATATATGAGTATCATATCAGTTACTGGATGATATTTGGATTTTTTTTATTTTTTTTATTAGTATTGGCAGATATTTAATAGTTCATGCTTATTTCTCCTATTTTTACATTTAGATTACCTTTGCCATCATCTAATACTCAAAGTTAATCTTAAAAAACGTGAATAATTCAGTAACACTGCTAAATGTAATCTCTACCAAATATAATGCTTTATTTTTAACTTGAGTTAAAAAAAAGTATAGAATTTTAATATTGACCATTTATTTAATTATCAGCCATAACGTGAAAATAATTATCGGACAAATTCGTAGTATTGATGTATTTATGGCAATGATATTATCAGTATTCCTAAAATAAAAATGTCAGTCATTGCCTTGTTTTTGGTATTGGTCAACTCTCAACTTTTTATTTATTTATGTCCCCCAGGGGGCAGTTAGTTTTATGGCAAGGTATGCGGACAGACAACCATTAAAAATGTAAAAACAATACACTGACCGTGAATAACCTACTGATCCTACTCACCACCTCCATTGCCTAAATTTAGTAGGGAAATGGCTGTGTGGGAATAAATGAGTATATATATATATCTATTGCTCTTAACTAAAGGAAATGGAAACCGCAAGCCGGAGGGTAGGGTCTCAAAATCAGAGTAAAGGACACGGGCTCTAATTGATTAAATAGATTTGGCTTTCCGTACCACCTGTCTATTGCACAGGTCGGTAAGGCTACTTTGCTCAACGTCTAAAATTTTGCTACTGACCTTCACTATTCCGGACAGAGCATTTTTAGCCTTGATAGTAAGATTGCCATACCAACATATTATAGAAAATATTAATACAGATTACAGACTCAATGTAAGATTTATAAAAGAGGGTTATAAGAGTCTTATCCACATGGTTTCACATTCTTTTTGTTGAGTCTGTTTTTTTTTGTTTTTGCCCTGGTTAGAAAGAATTGCATTGCAGGCACACCATTAATTTCTGATAAAATAGCAAGTACAGCAAAAACCTTTCCATTTCCAGCGTCACCATTTTTATTAAATGACGTTGAGCTGAGTCCGTTGACAAACTCTACATGATAATAATTTTACCATAGCAAAAACAATTCAAGTATAGCATTTGAGAATGAAATATGACTGCTGCTGAAGACTAAAGCAAGGATTTTGAGGCAAAGTACCAAATTGATTGGGAATAAAATGAACCCTTTCTTCTTGTAATAAAGAAGCAAAGCAGCTGACAGAAAATAATGCTTTGATCATGGCATATCATTAAATCCCTATTAGAATACATTTTCATTAATTAGAGGCTAATTGCAGTTTAAAAGGGTTTTCTGTTTATGTTCTAAAGGGAGGCTGATGCACCTTTATGCCATCTGTGTGGACTGCCTGGAAGGAGTACACAAAATCGTGTGTATAAAGTGCAAGTCTAGGTGGGATGGAAGCTGGCACCAGCTGGGCACAATGTACACATACGACATACTGGCGGCATCGCCATGCTGCCAGGTAATGAATCTGTTCATGCTCAGAAACAATATAACATATCATTTAATATGACATATTGCTATATATACATTACTAAAATGTCACTCCTCTTTGTCTGCCTAGGCACGGCTCAACTGCAAGCATTGTGGGAAACCGGTCATAGATGTACGTGTGGGCATGCAGTATTTCTCTGAGTACAGCAATGTACAGCAGTGTCCTCACTGTGGCAATCTGGACTATCACTTTGTAAAGCCATTCTCTTCGTTCAAAGTTCTTGAAGCTTATTGACAAAAGTTGCATTTGCATGCTAGTATTTTCCCCCCGTTTTTTCTATTCATAGAATTACTTATTTTGGACTCTTGTCGACACTTTGTGTGAGCTTAGTTCTCTTTAGGAACAAAATAGAAAGAATCAAAGCATACACCGTTACGTCGGAGAGCGCGTCTTTTATTAAGAGAAAGAGGGTGTGCTTTTGCGTGTATTCTAACGCCATCCTTGAAATGTTTGAGCTTGCATTTAAAAAAACAAAGCAACAACAATACTGTGACAAGTGAATGTATCTCTGTATGCCAAATTTGCTCTTTTGTACAAAAACCAAGAAAACAATAAAATACATAAAAGGGTCCTTCCTTTTTCACAGAGTAATTATTAATTATTCCAAGGCTTGGTCAGTGTTTGTTTGTATTTTTATTTATTTTTTATCTCATTCCGCCCAGAGCCTGTATACATAATTCCTGTTTTCCATATCAAATAGCAATGCTCAATGAACATCATAGCAGATGAAGTAGCTTCTTTGATAAAGTCATCAAGAGGTGCTCTTATGTAAACAACCTTTGGTTTGTGAATCTTGGAAGACAAAGCCATTTATTGAGTGAGAGAAATATATAAATTATTTTATAGATTAAAATTTAAAATGTCTTAGAACATTTTTTTTTTAAGATAAAGCATCCATATAAAATTCAGACAACAAGCATCTATAATTGTCAGTTAATGTTTACCATACCATTGGATCTGCTGGCCTGTTGTTGGCCATATTTCTGCTACAAATTTACATTTTAAAGCCATCTAGAAATAATATATCTCATGAGGATTATACTACCATACAGAAGCCAAACACAGTAGCTACGCATTTTGTAAAAAATAAATAAAAAGTATATAATTTGCCTTGTGAACTCAACTCAGCTATACTCAAGTTATGCTTACATGACAATGTGTACTAAAAATGGAAACGTTTTTCCATTGCTTTTTTCGCATACAGACGACAACGTTGTCAAAATGATCCAACAAGGAACATTCTCAAGGATCCACGAAAACAACAAAAAACGCTGTATTATGTATGCCAGGCCAGTAGTTGGCGATGTCACTTTGTAAAGAAACATTACATGCCTTTAGACCTTATGCGCCAGAGAAACAAGCATTGTAATGTTTGAAGCAAATGTCATAACAAATGTCAGTATGCTGGGAAGATTTTAAAAGGAACGGTTCATTCATAAATCCGTAAAATCTTACCTTCATGCTGGAAATACATACCGGAACACAATGAGTGCAGCGCTGAAAAGGGGCGGGGCTACATAAGCTCATGCGGATGACGTCATCGTTTTTGTTGTTTACATGGAGACAATAACTTGCATTTTGAAACCCGATTTCAAAAGTTTGCGTTTTCAGGCCGCCAAAATGCCATTGTCGTGTAAATTAACGGCCAAAACGCTTTTCCGTTTTTAGTTGAAAACAGTGTCATGTAAACATCCCCTCAGATTCAAGAAAATGTTGTGTGAAAAGTGAATTAAAAAGCTATTTGTGTTGCCGTATTAACTGTCTTTAGGACATTATACATCTTCAAAAAGGTAACTCCAGTCAACCCTCTGCCACTTTTACATCATCATACTAACTAACCCTATAGCAGTGTTTTCAAAGACAACGTAACTCAAGATCAGACAATCTGAAGTTTACACTGTTGTCTAACCATTTGTTAATGTGTGTATTTTTAATGCATCTATATTTTATGCTTCAGGCTAAAGGTCAAGTTAAGTACAGACCCGCTGGCTTCCTCATTTCCACTCATGACCATGACTTCTGATACATATTCACATTCTGTAAGAAGCTGGAATTGCCTGCAGGTATTATATTCTCTTGACTTACTCTGAATCTTCTTCTTTTTTTTCCCTTTTTTTTTTTACAAAATCTAGTTTGTTCCAACAGAAGATATGTGTTTGTGTCTGTTTGTGCATTTATTTAGGACAAAGGTAGCTTCTTTGTGCACTTCGAGGGAAGTTGTAGAACCATATATGCCCAAACAATATGGGTATCTAGTCAAATCTGCTCTGCTTTAGTATGTGTACAAGGTCTGTGAGGTACAGGATGTGTAACCCAGAACGGAAAATGATGTGACAGCATTTATATAAATAAATACAGGTCAATACATCTACTTGCAGGTATAGACAGTGAATCATTCTGAACAGCGTAAGCATGAAAGCTGCTTGCCTTTTTAGGCTGTTGCCATGGAAACTGCTGCTGCTTAGATAAAAAAAATCATGGTGTGCAATAAGAGTTATTATATGTGGACAGCAGTTAACATTATTCATCATGAATCTAACTCTTTTCTCTAAAAGATATTCCAGAATATAATTTAAGGTTCTTTATTATTGTTATTGCTAGGGTTGGGTATTGACACAAATTTCACGATTCAATTCCGATTCAATCCACGTTATCGATTAATTTGGATATACAGTACATTGCGACTTTTACCAAGAAAAGAAAATCTCCCAACTAATGCTCAACTATACAGGGAGTTAGCTGGTACATTACTATAACATAAGGTTAAGTTAACTCATTTGTATAGGCCCATGCAAACACAAATTGCACACTAGGTTTTTTTATAATAATAACGTTATAATATAATTACATAATTATGTTTCTACTTCAATTAGGGTTTTTTTGGTGGTTGTAATAAAAAAAGACGGATTCAAACAAATATTGAAGAACAGTAAATATGTAATTTAGCAAAACACTCTTCTCTATAGTTATTTTTCTAGCTGACTACTATCGAGTAATGGTCATGAATGCCTTTTCTGAGGTAAATGTGATGTTCAAGCTGTTTTATTGACATCTTTCCGCGGTTGAAACACTGATTTAGCGATTACATGTGACATAATTAATTTCATTAAGCAACGACCCAGAACACAAGAGCATCCACCTAGCAGTTCCTAGTAACCACCTAGATCGCCATAGCAACTGCATAGTAATGTTCTAAAAGCCAGTCAGGATATCTTAGCAACGACCTAGCAACGCCACGGCAACCATTTTCTCCAGAAAATGTGCCTTTATTCACACAATGCTTTGCATTCAACTTATTAACTTGTATGTCTAACTAGCAAGTTCTCAAATTTAAAATGTAAAAATGTTTCAAGGATTTTACTGGAAAACAAGTAAACAACAACCCCCCCCACCCCCACCCCCAGCCCCCACCACCAACCTTTGTTTACTTAATTGTTGTCTCTAAAAGTGTCCAGACTCTAAAAGTGTGCAACACAAACCTTTTCCATCTCCTTTGACAGTGACGTAAATCTCTTTCAGCAACGCCCAGCCAAACATTTTCTCCAGAAAAAAAAAAAACAGCCTTTAGCTGTTGCCTTTTTCACACATTGCTTTGCGTTTAACTTAGTCATATAACCAAAGTCTTTGTGTAGGATTAGGAAAAGTAGACGTTTATTTGAGGGTACTTGAGAAAGTATTACAAGTTGAAAAAAGTCCATATTACACTCGGTAAGCTAGGAATTCATCCTTGAATTAAACTCTCTTAAAGGAACGTGTCTGTCATCTTCTGTATAACTTGTAACTCGTTAACGGCAAGACACTCGTCAAACAAACTGATCTAGAAATGATAAAAAGCATAAGCATTTCGGCTTAGCTTTTATTCGGCCCCTTAGCAGGACCTTTCTTCTTGGCAGAACCTTGTTTTTTAGGCTGGGATTTGCTGGCCTTCGCTTTGGCCTCTTGGGATTTTGGGGCCTTAGGTTTGGACGCCGGTGCTTTGGCTCCCTCAGATGCAGCTGCGGCTTTCTGACCGTGCTCCTCTTTGAGGGGCTCTTGTTTGGGTGGTTCTGGTTCAGGTAGCTCAGGTTTAACAGCTTCATCTTTGTCCTCTTCTTTCATGACGGGCTTTGGCTGAGTGGATTCCTCTTCGACTGTCTCTTCTGCTTTTGTCACCTCTTCCTGGCTTGGTTCCTCTTTTGCTGACTCTTGTTTTTCTGTGATCTCTGGTTGTAGAGGCTCTTGAGGAAGTTTGGATTCCATCTCAGGGATGGCTGGTTCAGGATTTGTTGGTTCTAATGGCTGCTCTTCGTTTACAGTAACAACCTCGGGTTTGTTTTCTTCTGCGGTAGAGGGTTCCTCTTGTGTCGATTCCTGTTTTTCCGTTGGTTCAATGGACTCAAGTTGGGGAGTCTCAGCGATCGCTGGATTCTCTTGTGCTGTCTCCACTTGTGCTGTCTCCACTTGTGCTGTCTCCACTTGTGCTGTCTCCACTTGTGCTGTCTCCACTTGTGCTGTCTCCACTTGTGCTGTCTCCACTTGTGCTGTCTCCTCTTGTGCTGTCTCCACTTGTGCTGTCTCCACTTGTGCTGTCTCCTCTTGTGCTGTCTCCACTTGTGCTGTCTCCACTTGTGCTGTCTCCACTTGTGCTGTCTCCACTTGTGCTGTCTCCACTTGTGCTGTTTCCTCTTCCTCACTATCCGATTCTCCAACATCATCTGTTATGGGTCTTATCAAGGAGGCTGCAAAATCCTGCAGGCGGGCCTGTTCCACTCGCAGCCTCTCCATCTCTGCGGTGAACACGGGGTTGAGAGCCGGGATAGGAAGTTGAGCGAGCTCTGGAAGATCATCTACTTGGGGCATGTCCACCGCAGGTGCTAAGGTCTCCTTTTCTGAATGTCGTATTTCTTTAATCTTGTCGTACAAACCTTTTCTTTCATCCTGCAGCACTCGGCACAGAGTTTCCAGACGGTCGATTTTTAAAGTGAAGAGCTCAAACTCCTTGCCCTTTTCTGATCTCTGTTGGAATTGAGTTAATCAGTTAGTAAGTGCAAAGCTAATGCTCAAATACGGACAAGTCATGTGTGTGTGAGTTACCTCGTCAATCATTTCAACTAGAGCTTTATTGCAGCTTTCAAACCGGGTCTTCCATGTGCTTGACTCCTTTTCCAGCTTCTTCATCTTCTTTGTCATCTGTTAAAATGGAAATGTGATCAGCATTTTGTAAGAGGTAAATGCCTTAAAATAGACAAAGACACTGTTCACAGCAACAACAACAAAAACATCCTATTCCTAACAAGCATTTTTGTCTAATTTTTCCTGTTGAAATATCTAAAAATCCCTGAAGCAAGAGACATGAGCTAGACACAACACTATAAGATATTAAGACTGTTTTCGGACGATGTATCTTTAATGTGAGTGTATTTTGCCTTACTGCACTGGCAGATTTGTTCAGTTGTTTTATGTATAAACAAGTGGGAAAAAACTGACAGTACAAAGAGACAAAATACACTTTTAAAGAAACATTCTCTGGAAAAAAGTCTTAATATCTTATGCAGTGTTGCTTCTCAAGTAAAATTCTCTTGTGTTGCTTCTCAAGTATTTTTAAATATTTGTACTGGAAGAAAAATGACCAATTAAAACTAAGATGTCGTTTATTGCATTGTTTTCTTATTAATTGTCGGCTTCAGACTGTAAATATGTGCAACACAACAAACCTTATCCATCTCCTGTTTGAAAGTGGCGTATATCTCATTGCTTTTTGCTAATGTGTTCTGGAACTCATCAAACTTCTGGGAGTACAACACAAGCTGTAAAAACATAATTAGACTTAGCATCCTTCTGAAAATCTTTGGAAAAGAATGCCTAAATCTATGTACAGTAAGAGAAACATGCATGACTAAGAATGTTAACATTTATACTGCATCAGCTTGGCCTTCCTTGTCATTTAATTATTATATATTGATCTTTTTCTCGGGTCTAGAATCCAACAATCCAAATGAGTTCCAAATTTGTTCTTTGCTTTGTAAAATTCATTCATTCATTCATTCATTCATTCATTCATTCATTCATTCATTCATTCATTCATTCATTCATTCATTCATTCAGCCCTCATGTAAAGATAATAATAGTAATTGATCACTGATTTTGCACTGTAAACCGAACAGTTTAAATTAATTAAATGAAATGAGTTCATTTCACTCAAATATTACTGAAAATTACCTGAACTCGAATTCTGATTGTATTAAGCTGAACTTAAAATGAGTTGCAGCATATTTCTAGATCCTCTGAATGCTTTGTGTCAGACTGTATAAGGAGAATAAATGTTGAATTGGGGGGGGGGGGGGGGGGGGGGTGGGGGGGGGGGGGGGGGATTATTTGCACAATATTAATATAAGGAGATGTGTTAGTGTTTAATGTTCTGTTATGTTGGGATTTACAGGGTTTTCTGTTATGTTAAAGGTTTGTAGGCTTACCATTAAGAGTAGAGCCTGGGGTGAGGCTGCAAAATTTCACATGTAACTAGTACATGCAAGTACATTAGCACATGCAAGTGCGCTGTTGCTTACTAGTTAAATATGATATTAATGTAAACAAACATTAACATGTTTGTGTAATACAAAATAAAATGGTAAAGTTCTACTAACTTAATCTTTGAGTTAATTAGTTTACTTAAATGTTTTGAAGTAATCGGTTTCCATGAATGTTTTGAGTATTCCGAACTTATCGGGTTTCGCTGTGTGCACTTTATATGCACTCCATCTCAAAGCAAATGTTCCATTCAAAAAACACAAAGCTTTAAATAAGTGAGCACTTCTGCAATGACTCCGTGTTTAATGTGTAAAGCATTACTTACATTTACTTATCATTCACAACAACAGCAGTGGTGAATCAATTCATCCAGGTCAAATTTAGTGTTTAGGCACTTGTGAACTATAATAATTTACTGACATAATGTATTTCTGTTTGGGTTGTCGCAGTAGAGCGGTGAGATGGGGGAGGTCTTCATACAGTCATCACCATAATTAGTTCATCTTTGTGGTAATTCAGAGAAATTACTAAATGTATCAGTATCTGCATGATTTGTCTGTTCGAACACAAAATGATAACATTTTTCATTGCAGCACTTTAATGATACTTTTGTAGCTGTAGACAACCTCAGTCCTTATTCATTATCATTGCATAAAAAAAAGCGATCAATATATTCTTCAAAATTTCTGGTTTTGATTGCCACCGAAGAAAGGAATTCATACCTGTTTGGAACGACATGAGAGTGAGTAAACGATGAATCTTAAATTCTTTTCTTTACGCACTTGAAAGTTTATTCTAAGCTTTTTCCTGTAATTTATCTATCCATCTCAACTGAAATGTATTCAACTGAAGTGCATTTAATGCGTTTGTACCTAAAGGATATGCATGAGCACTGTAAATTGCCTTTTAAATTTGTTTGTGGTTTGTCACATAGCTCAACGAGAGAAACGCCACAGCTAGAGAAGAGAGAGAGCGGGATTGTGGGTAATGCCACAGCGGTAGATATTCACCTGAGCCTGCATGATTGTGTGCTGCTGTTTCAGCTCTTTAGTCTGTAGTTTCCACTCTGCAGCCTGAGTGAGTAACTGGTTAAACACAAGACACACACAAACAGGTGAGACCAAGAACTCGCCATTACCTGTTTCTTCATCTGTAACTCCTGCTCCCTCATTGTGTAGCATTTCTTTGTTTTTTCAATAGCATCTCTAAGCAACTAACAACATAAATGGTGAGATGTTAACATGTGGCACTTTCCAGTTTCATTAAAACATTGTTATAATCAGGGTCCAAAATTAACTTTAAATTTTAACTCAAAATTAAATTTACTAGTTAAGGATTTTAAACAACAGTTCAATTAAAAAGAAGTTAATATTGTTACATTTTAGACACAATATTGTCAACATTGTCTGTTGTTGCTCAATTTTGCCAATGAAAATAGTTCCAAAAACAAAGCCACAGCAGAACTGTTGTGCATCTCCGAGCAACACACAGCAGTTTACTGAATGAATCCGCGGCTTTTAATGAATCGAGTGAGCCAATGATTCAGTAACCCATTCATAACGACGGTCACTGCTTCATTCCTGAACGAATCGGCCGTTTGAATGAATCGGTTGAATGAATGACTGAATGACTCGCTCATTAAGACAGCGACTTGCCGCCACCTGGTGGTTTTAGTTTCATATTTAGAGTATCATTTAATCTTTCATTCATATTCACACCACCTCTGAGCTTCATTAAACAGTCTGTGTGTAAATATATCTAAATGTCGCTTAAGATGCAGCTTCTGAAAAACACAATATAATGGCCACATTGTAGCCTTAAAGGTTTATGTAAAATAAATTATGTTGAATCAAAAAAAATCTTTCTAAAGCTACTTTTTGTAATGTCTATTTAATGCTTTTCTCATCTAACACAATAATGAATTTAAACGATTTTTTTATTTAGCTGACAGCTCATGATTGTGTAATCATCATGTCAGTTATCAGTAAAGGTCAGACTATCATTCGTAGATTGACTTAATATATTATGTTGCAGTTCCTTATAAAATGACCCCCCATACTTGCATTTGGCACTTGATGATTGTTAATTTTAGACCCTGCTTGTAAAGGAATTCATTGTAAGCACATGCAAATGAATCTGTCTGCTCTTCATTTTACTCGAGGCAAATCTGAAGAGCCAGAAAAGGAGATCTGTGTCTGTGTGTCTTACATATTCTTTCTCTCTCTTGTGCTTCTCTTCAGCTTGTCTGAGTAATATGTTGGCTTCTTCCAGCTTGGCATCTGACACTTTCTGCTGGAGATCTCTGTGTTTGAAGATCTTCTCTAAAGTCTGCATAAAAAACACACAAGGAAGAGTATTTATTTAGACTTAAAGGGAACATATCAGATATGCCTAAATTATTTTATTGATTATAAATATTTTATTTCACCCCTCACTTCTACTTATAATGATGATAGTAATGTTTTTTAGCACCAAAAGACTGAAACTACTTAAACTGTTGCATAAAATGTTTTTTTTTTTATTCTAAAACTAACAACTTTTTTCAAAAGAAGGATGGGTGACTAATTTTAACTTATTTTTGTATAAAACCACATGCATGTGGAACCTTTTAAATAGATATTATCTGGAATTGAAAACAGGGCATATGGAATTGTATCGTCGTGTGTTTGTTTTTCCAGCTTTGGTCGGTAGACAGTTCCTCATAGAAATGAACCTTTATCTGCATCAGTCAACACAGTACAACATTTTAGCAATGACATTTTTTGTCTCTATCATGATGATACACCTCACAGTGTGATATTCCAGAACATTTTCCAGGATCAACATCCTTTGTTGTTCTTGGAACAGCTTTCGTTGTCAATCATTCTTTCAGAGATAAAATCAGAGGGTGGCAATTGGTGGAAGTTGTTCCATGTTCTTCTTCTTGTGTAAATCACATTGAGGGTGTATTCACACCTGCCTTGTTTATTTCGATTGAATCGAACTCTAGTTCGTTTCCCCCCTTGGTGCAGACCTTTTGGGCAGGTGTGAATACAGCAATCGAACTCGGGTGCGGACCAAACAACCGAACCGAGACCCAGCTGAAGAGGTGTGCTGCCTGCGTCCCAATGTGCATACTATTTAGGATGGATAGTATGCACATTGGGACGCAGCTGTGGTCTCGGTACGGTTCCAAACGAACTCTGGTACGGTTCGTTTACGGTGTGAACATGAACCGACCCAATTGCAAGAAAGCACTGTGCCCTTGAGTTAACAGGCTTCCGTAGTCGGAGTTGCGTTATGAAAGTGATCTGTTGTAGCCTAGCCTACTACATTTGATAAAATGAGTCGTGGTTTGACCTGGAGCTTCGAAGAGACGAGCTGCCTTATTAACATTTGGGCAGATGCCCATGTAGAACAGCTGCCCATGTAGCACAGAATAACACAAAATTAGTAAAAGAACAAATATTGCAGTATGAAATATCTCCATGCTGAGCCTTTTTTTGCACTTCCTGATTTCCCTACTTGAGAATCCTTCTCCAATGAATGGACGACCTTAGCACACGTGTGGTTTTGTTTACAAATTTTGGTTCACTTGCAAAAAGAGCAGTGTGAAAGCGAACCGTACCAAAAAAAAAATAAAAAAAAAATTTTATTTGGTCCGGATCAAAGCAAGTGAACTATCGGACTTTCCTGGTGTGAATACACCCTGAGTTTGATTCATGTCTCTGCTTCAGCCAGCAGAGGGCAGTAGAGACACACAGCACAATTTCATCTTGAGTCATTTAAATTCTTGCCCGACAGACAGGGTCTGATTTAGCCCAACACACAGCTGTGTGTGAGCAGTCTCTGTGGTACCCATCAGGATGACAGATTGAGCTTAACTTCCCCACATCAGGCTTGTCATTCCACAGGCCGATCCTCATGTGATTAGATACAGAATACAAGAGTGTTCTACAAGGTGCAATATTCACTGTCAAACCGGGCGTGAATCACTAAGTCAAAGTAAAAAAGAAATAAAGTATCTGCTGTGCATATAGCAGGTTTAGAAAGTGTGAGGGTGTAGTTTCCTCTGCCTTATGTTGTGAAATTACAGCTCTGGTAGTTTCAAACTCTAAATGGTGCAATGTACATGAAATATACAAAAAATGCCCATGTACAAACACTACCCATCAACAGTTCAGAATAATTATGATTAAAAAAAGTTTTTAGTAGAAGTTTCTTTTGCTTACCAAGAATGCATTTATTTGATCAACAACCCAGTAAAATTGTTAAATATTATTAGTTTAAAAAAAATCATATTGTAAAATGTAATTCCTGTAAATGGCAAAGCTGATTTTTCAGAAGTCATTTTTTCAGTCTTCAGTGTCACATGATCCTTCAGAAACCATTCTAATATGCTGATTTGCTGCTCAAGAAACATTTCTCATTATTATCAATGTTGAAAACAGTTGTGCTGATTCATATTTTTATGAAAACTGTGATAAGCTACCATCCAAAAGTTTGGAATATAAGACTCTTTAAAAAAAAAAAGAATCTTATTCTTTTTTCTTTTTTTTTTACAGTTTTTTTTTTTTTTTTTACAGTTTTCTTGATCAAATAAATCAGCCTTGGTGAGCATAAGACACTTCTTATGACTACAAAATATGAATTTTTCCACACTTCTAACCAGTAGTGTAGTGGCTAAGTTTGGTAACTTTTTCGGGTAGACCAGAACAAAATCCAATCAGATGCATTTTCAAATGTATTACAATCACTTATGGTGCACACATACTTGTGCCAAAATCTAATCTCGGCTATACCTTGGGGGTGCAGCTTTAAATGGATTTGTGGCTGAATCGCTTTGACAGATGTGTTAGATATTGGGGTGTTTGAAATGGTCAATTCATTTAGCTGGCTTTCGCTGTATACACTGGCTGCACAGGTTTTCGGTCTGCTTCACACGACAAGCACATATTTATTTTGGGGCCCATATTAACAGGTTACAGTATTCGCACTGCCTGTGTAAACAGCACAATGATGTGTGGCAGGAGCTTCTGTTATGCAGCAGAAACACTGATGGATTTAATGGATTTCCAGACTAGATTTGATGTGTTTGTATAGTCTTGTGTGTTTAATGTACCTCCTCTCGCCGCTCATACTGCTCTATGATGGTCTTGAGTTTGCTGGCCAGCTCGCTGTTCTCTTGGCACAGCTTGTTGTTGCGGTTACTGTGCTGCTCGATCTGAGCCTGAATGTCCACCAGCGTGCTCTGGAAATGAGTGCTGATCTCCTTCCGCTTCATTTCATCCTCCCGCATCCTTTGCAGACTCTCCTCCTGCAGAGAGAAAGAGAGAAGGAAACGTGTGGGAAACATGTAGCCTTAAGATATGAAAGCAATAGATCTAGTGTGAGATGGGCAAATTATGTATTGTCTTTGATAGCATTCTGTGGTGGAAATGATATTATAAACATTTGTGGAATAGAATGCCTGACTCCTATAAGGCTTATTTCATTGGCATTTTATGTAGCTTCAATACATACAATTAAGTAATATTTTGTATTATTTGAAAACATGATTAGAAATGACAAAAAGAGCAATATTTAACTTGACATGTTTTTGTTTTTGTTTGTTTTCTTCCCTCATAAATGTGCATATTTTATCTCATTGTTGTCATTAACTAAAACTAAAATTACTGAATATTTTTGTTAATTGAAATAAAGCTGAAATAATATAAAATATAAATATTAAATGAAAAACTTCAACTGAAAAATATGAAATTGAATAAAGTTAAAGTACTATAATGACTGAAATAATATTTAATTAAAGCTAAATGGAACTAATTAAAAAACTAATACAAATGACATGACTAAAATAAAAATGAAAACTGTAAATAGAAAAATACAAGCTAATTAAAATATTAATAAATACATAGTGTATAAACAATACTAAAATCACACTAAACATGTAGATACAAATTTTTTAATAAAACTTTTATTAGAGACAAAATTATTGGTTGTTATGGAAATTAAAAAAAAAAAAAATCTGTGATAAAACATTGTTTTTATGTTGTATGTGAATAAGGGACAACCTTTTGGAAGTGGCTTTCACCACATTATTTGATATAGTGGAGAATGACAGGAAATTGAAGTGATAGAGGGAATGGACATGTTATAGGCTGGACTTGAACCTGAGTGGTCCACATGAGTACCATAGCTCAACATGTCCAAAGCAGGTGCACTAACCGTTACTCCACAGCACCAACAAAAAGGTCATCTTTGAACTGCACTATACCGTACAAGGGCTGAGTGTGAAGACTAGCTTATGAGCATATTAATAACAAATGGTGTTAATGACATATCATGCTCTGAAGATCTAGATTTCTGTAACGAGATAAACAATATCATCTTTTTTTAGTATCTCGGATTGGACGTGTGATTGCTAAACAGGTCTGCCACAGAATGTGTGCGCTCTGTAAACATGAGCTCCTGTTTCAGAGATGCCGGCTTCCTGACTCAGCTAATCGTAAGGAATCCAAGCATGCAGCGTTCCTCTCAAGGGCTGAAGCTGTTTGCTTGCCTGTGTTTACACATGGCATGAGTCTCAAGCTCCCATCTGGGAAAGGTGAAGCTGTTCTACCAATACGCAAGCTCATTAGGGAGGTGAATCGTGAGCACAAGGGAAACAACCCCAGCTTAAATGTAATTTACTGTCATCATAGCCGAGAGTCGCACCTACACACAGGGCTTAGATGTTCTTTTCTGACCTGCTCACTATTAGCTTCTATAATGTTTGAATAATATTGATTGGGGAGGGAACAAGGTCAAAGCCAGCCCCTAGGGAGGGATAGCATCAACTTCCAAAGACACACAGAGTTCATATTAGTGCAAGAGTATAATATCTTCAATGACCGAAAAAAAAAAAAAAACACAAATATGATTAGAAAGCTTCTCTCCGAGTCACCTTACTATACTGGTTTCCGCCATGGAGTTAAAAAAAAAAAAAACCTTAAAATAAAAAGGTATTTGCACATTTTTATGAAATTCTGAATTGTGTGATATAAACTCAAAATTTGAGGAAAAAAGTCTGAATTGAGAGACATAAACTGTCAATTGCAAGAGAAAAAAATTGCGAGTTATATCTTGCAATTCTGACTACCATTTTTTAATTGTGAGATAAAAACTCTTACAAAAGTATTCAAGTGTGCTATTGGTATACTTCTTTTCAACTAAAAATAAGAAAGTATCATTTCAGTCTACTTTTTATGTACTTTTCAGAAATGTACTCAAAATTAATATTAAAGTATACTTGGCTTACTGACAGAAAAGTCTAAGTATATTTGGCCTATATACTTGCACTAAATCTTTTGATCGAGATATACTTAAAAGTATAATTAAAGCTGCAGTCCGTAGTTTTTCCTCTTTGTCGCCATCTCTGTTCAAAATCTGCAATTGCAGTTATTCGCGGAATTATCAACTTTACGTGGGTTGTGCATCGGCACGGCACAGCGCGGATGAATCCAATGTTTTGAGGAGAATGTGCAGCTGTCAGTCACCGCGCCGATGTGGATACTGTCATTCAGAATCACATATTCTACTTTTTGGAAATATGACCAACATAAGAACTTTCACCGGAATATGTCATCTGAACAAGTAAGTAATATCCACTTTTGTTCTGACCAACTAAGGGAAAAAAGCATAAATCGCGCTGATTAAATCTAACGATCGTTTATCATATCACGTCAAACCATGCAAATACTTTGTTCTCAAATTGTTCATGTTAACAACATCAGCATTGCGTGACTACATGTAATGTCCTTCCGATATTATCCTTGTTTTCGCATGGGCCCGGTTGAAGTCTCTTTTTTTCTGTAGCCACTTCGAAGTCCGAACGAAGTCTTTTGCATTTTACAACGGGTGAATCTTTAGTTGTCACTGGTGATTGTCGTTTGAACCTTTCTGGATCCGCCATCAAATTGATAAGTTTAATTATATCAAGTGCTTTGAGAAAAGGCTATAAATCTCCACCTCCAACATCCTCACACGCAATATAGCCTACTAGCCGAGACTCCTTCTTTATGTGTACAGATGTGACGTAATGACACAAAGACATGCTTGAATCTCCCGCGGAAATCCACCAGTAGCACTGGAATTAAAAACATTATTACAAGCTTACCGCTTTGAATCGAGCTAAGGCAAGCAGATAGTTTTGAACACTGGCTCGTTATGTACTTGCTCGAAAATGTATTTTGGATCATTTTTAACCCAAAAAAGTTACGGACTGCAGCTTTAAGTATTCTAAGTATACTTGACTTGTACTTGTGTTTACTCTTTTGATTGAGTAGTCTATATAGTTTTACACAGTGTCTTACTCCAACTATTCTGAATCCGATCCGGACGAAGTCTTTGACAAAAACGCAATTTTTAAATTTAAAAGAATACTTTAATACACAAAAAAGTGGGCCGATTTAGTCCTAAGCAGTATTGAAATAGCACACTTACAAGAACACTACTATTAGTATACTACTTACTATTTAAAGTACTTAAAAGTGTACTTCAACTTTACTTGAGTATACTTAATAATATTAACTTATAGTATACTTATGTTTTGTAAAGGAAGTCGCAATTTTTTTCTTACAATTGCTAGTTTATATCTCTCAATTCTGACCTTTTTTTCTTTTTCTTTTTTATGTGTGGAAACAATCTTTCATAGACGTTAGTTTAGTCACCATTGAATTCAGTGTGGATGAAAACCAGGATGTGAGGGATAGACTTACAGTCTTTACAATGACACGCACTATATAAAGGTCAATACGTTTCATCAGCTAAACAATTGGTATGGTGTTTAACAACAGTAATATTCAAACGCACTGTAATTCTACCCCTCACAGCCTCGTTTTCATTCCTGTCAAAATTTAAATATGTGCTACCCTGACTAAGGTACAATTATGAGTTTATAACTTGAAATTGTGGATCGTAATCTCACAATTGTGAGGGAAAAAAGTGTCTGTATGAATGCTGGGACAGAAACCGCTCCCTTTTCTTACACCGTCCTCCAGCACCTGTTCATTGAATAGTACAAATAGACTGAAATCAGGTTATCATCTGCAGAGAAAATGGCTCCAGGTGCTTTGCTCAAGATTCGTAACATCTTTCATATTACGTAAACATTCACCGCACGGAGGTGAAATTGTTCTTGGAAAGGCAACATAATTGTTTGGCAGAGTGAAAAGGCATGAGTGGACCACTATAGCCGACAACTGGAAGCATTTCATGTGCTGAATAGTTTTTGTAAAATAACAAATATGGAAGCTCAGCTGAGAGAGGCCTTCACAAATTAGGTTGCAGCTCTTTATATTCTGAACCGTATACATCGGTCTTAAACTCAGCTCCTGGAGGGCCACTGTCCTGCAGAGTTAAGCTCCAACCAGCTCCACGCACCTTCCTGGAAGTTTCTAGTAATCCTGAAGGCGGGTTTTTTCCCCCCTAAAACCATAGACTGTAAAAAAAAGATGGACGACGCCCCTTCACTCTCTTTCATTGGTGAACAGTGAAGCCACCAAAGTCCTAATATGGCACTGACATCTTGCCCTGATTTGGGACCTGATTCTGCACTCCCGCAGAAATGGTAAGTACAAAGTTTACTGCTGAGCAACTCATTGTGTCAGTGTAAAATAAACAGTTATGGACATCTAGAAATTAAAGTTCAAGCTCCAATCTCCTGCCAAAAATCCCCCCAAAAGGTCCGTTGGTGCCTCAGGGACTACTTCGTTTAGAGATGCTGTCAATCACAGCTGTCAATCATGACGTTACATTCCCATTTTTATAGCATCAAATAACTCACTAAGACCAAACGTGTTTAAAAAAAAGCGAACACTTTGGAAAAACGTGTTTGAAGTGTAATTTGATTGTTTAGTTTCCATCGCGTCCCATTAGACTTCATGGGGAGGGCGGGGTTATGACCTATACTGGGACCAACCACCTGTTGGCGATCGAGACGCTTTGGCTTCACTTTTCAGGACTTGTGTGACACGCTTACCTAAAACCAGTTCAGGAAACTCCACCCCACAGCCATTTCTAAAGATTTCATTGGTCATGTCAGTCACAGTGCCGATTGCCTACACCAAATACTAAACCCTAAGTAACCCTACCCTTCACCCTAACTTTAACCAATGAAATTAGCTGCAGGGTGGGATTTCCGGTGAACTGCTTTGGGGGGGAAAAATCACGCATCCTGAAGACCTCGACAAGTTGGATCAGATGTGTTTAATTAGGGTTGGAGCTAAACTCTGCAGTGCAGAGAATTTGAGGGGCCGTTTTAATGACATCGTTGTCAACTAAAAAATGGAAAACTTTTTATGCTTTTTGGGGGCCTGAAATGCAAACCTTTGAAAAATGGTTTCAAAGTGCAAGTTTTTGAAACCGATACCATTTTTGTCTCCGTGTAGACTACAAAAAAGCGAATTTGTGAAAACAGTCAGTGACATCCTGTGCATGCTTATTACGTGTTCAGTCTATAAGTGCGTAGTTTTTTTTTTTTTTTTACAAAGTGACATCACAAACTACTGGCCTGGCATGTATAATACTGCGTTTTTAATCGTTCTTGCTGATCCGTGTGAACAGGGTACATGAAAACGCAATGGAAAAACGTTTTTGTTTTTAGTACATCGTTGTCAAGTAAATGTACCCTCAGACTACTACATGCGAAAGGAAGCAATTTATTTTTAAAGTGCTCCCTGTATTCTGCACGCAACATACAAGCTGCGACCAGTGAAGTCTGATTCTCGACTGAATGACTTATAAACCTTTTCTTAAAGTGAATTAAAATCATACAACACTAACGGTGAAGTCTGTGAAGAATTTCTTTTTTAATAAAAGCTCTTATTTAAATAAATATGGAAATCGTTTTAAATATGGAAATCGCAATCGTTGATTGCACTAAATCTATGATTCCGAATTCTGAAAAAACTCTTGGGAGTTCTTGTCTTGGGATGTATACACTCACCTAAAGGATTATTAGGAACACCATACTAATACTGTGTTTGACCCCCTTTCGCCTTCAGAACTGCCTTAATTCTACGTGGCATTGATTCAACAAGGTGCTGAAAGCATTCTTTAGAAATGTTGGCCCATATTGATAGGATAGCATCTTGCAGTTGATGGAGATTTGTGGGATGCACATCCAGGGCACGAAGCTCCCGTTCCACCACATCCCAAAGATGCTCTATTGGGTTGAGATCTGGTGACTGTGGGGGCCATTTTAGTACAGTGAACTCATTGTCATGTTCAAGAAACCAATTTGAAATGATTCGAGCTTTGTGACATGGTGCATTTTCCTGCTGGAAGTAGCCATCAGAGGATGGGTACATGGTGGCCATAAAGGGATGGACATGGTCAGAAACAATGCTCAGGTAGGCCGTGGCATTTAAACGATGCCCAATTGGCACTAAAAGGCCTAAAGTGTGCCAAGAAAACATCCCCCACACCATTACACCACCACCACCAGCCTGCACAGTGGTAACAAGGCATGATGGATCCATGTTTTCATTCTGTTTACGCCAAATTCTGACTCTACCATCTGAATGTCTCAACAGAAATCGAGACTCATCAGACCAGGCAACATTTTTCCAGTCTTCAACTGTCCAATTTTGGTGAGCTCTTGCAAATTGTAGCCTCTTTTTCCTATTTGTAGTGGAGATGAGTGGTACCCGGTGGGGTCTTCTGCTGTTGTAGCCCATCCGCCTCAAGGTTGTGCGTGTTGTGGCTTCACAAATGCTTTGCTGCATACCTCGGTTGTAACGAGTGGTTATTTCAGTCAAAGTTGCTCTTCTATCAGCTTGAATCCGTCGGCCCATTCTCCTCTGACCTCTAGCATCAACAAGGCATTTTCGCCCACAGGACTGCCGCATACTGGATGTTTTTCCCTTTTCACACCATTCTTTGTAAACCCTAGAAATGGTTGTGCATGAAAATCCCAGTAACTGAGCAGATTGTGAAATACTCAGACCGGCCCGTCTGGCACCAAAAACCATGCCACGCTCAAAATGGCTTAAATCACCTTTCTTTCCCATTCTGACATTCAGTTTGGAGTTCAGGAGATTGTCTTGACCAGGACCACACCCCTAAATGCATTGAAGCAACTGTCATGTGATTGGTTGATTAGATAATTGCATTAATGAGAAATTGAACAGGTGTTCCTAATAATCCTTTAGGTGAGTGTATAGTCTCTAGCACCAACAGAACGGTAGAACAGGGAGGCCATGGCCTCTGCAGTGATTTGAGCCAGTGAGACATTCTCTTTTACTTTTGATTTATAAAAGAAGGGCAAATGCCATTGAAGCTCGGTAACACTATCCCTCTTGTCATAGTGACCTGTCAGCAGCGCTTTGAGTCTGAGAAGTCAGTGTCTGATTGAGGCAGAGACACAGAGACACAGCAGGAACGTCCCACTGGGCTCAAAGACACCGTTTCCTCAGTTAGAAGGAAGTTAAGTCGACTCATTCTCCGCAATCAAAACACTCAGTAAAAAGATAACAGGACAACAAGTCAAGCTCAACAATCTCCAACATGTCAAACAATAAGTTGCTATAAGGTCTGTGGTGTTATCTAATTCAGATGAATGCACCCCTGAATGGCACATAAAAACAAAATGCTTTACATGTTCAAACGGCTTTTCTTTTCTAAGTGAATGGTTCTTATATGAAATCTCATCTTATCTCATGTTTCAAGTAAGTATTTAACAGGTAATACTTTTTTTTAGTTTAGGGATGGAAAAATGGGAACATTTCCCCAAAATACAGTATAATCTAATGCAAATATGAGACAATTGAATAAACAGATACTTTTGTTGCAAAAATTAAACAGTAGGCTTTTATGGTCAACAAATTCACACAGCACATAAAGAAAAATATTCCAAATAATTTAATGTTTATGAAAGACATCCCTCATTGCTTGCCAAGGCTGCTTTTTTTGACAAAAATACAGTTAAAACAGCAATATTGTGAAATATCACTGTTTTCCAAATATTTCCAAGATTACAATTTAAAATAACTGTTTCCTATTTTAATATATTATAAAAATGTAGCCTACTTTATTCCTGTGATGGCAAAGCTGAATTTTCAGCAGCCATTGTCATGTCACATGATCCTTCAGAAATCATTCTGATTTGGTACTGAAAAAACATTTCTTATTACTATCAATGTTGAAAAGAGTTGTGCTGCTTAATATTTAATGAAAACAGTGATACATTTTTTTTTCAAGATACTTCTTTTAAAATTTAAAATAACAGCATTTATTTGAAATGGAAATCATTTGTAAGATTATACATGTATTTGCTGTTACTTTTGATCAAATGCATCCTTGCTTTAAAACTAATTTAACCAGAAAAAAAAAAAAAATCTTACTGACCCTGAAACTTTTAAATGGATTATGGAAATATGCATGTTTATTTTTTCTAAAAGAAGTAATGTACGTTTCTTATCACATATAGTTTGTTTCTTTTCTTTGAAATGGAATAACGTTCTCTGCCTCAGAAACAACTTTTAAGCAGATTTTTAGGCTGATGGGAAAAATAATATTACCAATGTAACATTGCCTGACTTTCTATCACAACTTGGATTTCTTAAGCTGTCAGTAGAGAGTGTTCTCACCTTCAGTGTCCTGTTATGTCTCTGAAGCTCCCTGCAGAGCATCTCCAGCTTGCTTCGGGCCAGGATGGCACGACTGTGCTCGAACTGAAGCTGATCTCTCTGCTTGACCAGAAGACCCTGTTTCTGCTGAAGCTGCTCCAGCTGTTTCTTCTCCGTCCTGTGTTCCTCCACCTGCCCAACATGCACAAAACACACACAGGTGTGATCCATACATCATCTTTGAATTAACCTTTCTTTCTTTCTTAATCTTTATCACCGCATTAACACCTCTGGTTGGTCTAGAGCTGCTTTAAAAAATGTCTGTCTGGTTTTTCGGATGTTCTCAAGAGGATTTTGGAATGACAGGATATAGACTTTTTCAGGCCCCAAAGATTGTATAGATCTGGTTTTGTCAGAACTAGAATTACTTGTAGTCTTCTGTCATACTTTCGGCTTTATGTGTCCCTGCCGTTATCTTTGTGTTCTGAAATTGAAGAGAGTGTTGTGGCTTTCTTGTGTGGCTTATGGCCTTGTGTTCAGACTCGCTTATTCAGCCCGGGGCGCCGTATATTTAGGTCATCGCAGTATCAGTTGAAACCACTCTTAACATCACACCAGGAGTTCTTTTATTTTCTCTCTGTGTCAATCCGGTTTGTGCTCTGTTTGTTTCCTCTTTACTGTCCTCTATGCATTGTTGTTGCCGGTGGTGAAAACTGTTCAGAGCGCTCCGCTCTCTCTCAGGTCTGGATACTCACCAGCTCAGTGTATTTCCTCAACACCATTTCCACTTTCTCTTCTGGTGAGCCGAGCTTGTTCAGACTTTGCAATATGGATGCAGCCTCTTTACCTACGAGACAAGCGTTTTCTGTTCAGATCAGAGAATAAAAAGATAAGCAGAAGCCACAAGGGAGAGTTCTGCACGCAAGCTTCAAAATAAATCAATGGCAGAAGTGGTGAAATCACAGCGTGATCATTTTTACCATACGATTAAACGGTTGAGAAAAGCAAACAAGGCTCAGGAGATAGTACTCAGCCTTAAAGGGACAGTTAATCCAAAAATTATGTCAGTATTTATTCTTTCTCATGTTGTTCCAAACCTTGATGATTATCTTTTTTCTATAGAAACTCCAATTAAAGCACTGTTAAATAGCTAACAAAAATATGTTCTAAGAACATTTAGCTTCCGTTGACATTTCTGTACGTCCTCTGAACAGTCAACGCGTCCGGTTTATTAAATGTTTTAAAACATTTGTATTGTTTATGCGAACATTAAGGGAACATTCCATTTTATCATTTTGCAAATATTATGGAAATGTTAAATGTGAATGTTCCCTGAACATTCAGTAACATTTTAAGGAAACTTTCAGGAAAAACGTTCCATGAACAATGTATAAATAACGTTTTTGTGCTGACGTTTTGAGAACATAATTAATAACTTTGAATGAACATTCTATTAACATTATCGGAAGAACATTTGTGACCCTAGACCACAAAACCAGTCACAAGTCGCACGGGTATATTTGTGGCAATAGCCAACAATACATTGTCAAAATTATCGATTTTTCTTTTATGCCAAAAATCATTAGGATATTAAGTAAAGATCATGTTCCATAAAAATATTTTGTAAGTTTCCTACTGTAAATATATAAAATATTTATTTTTGTGAGTGGATGCAGCAAAAGCATGAACATAAATGGACAACTTTAAAGGCGATTTTCTCAATGTTTTGATTTTTTTGCACCCTCAGATTCCAGATTTTCAAATAGTTGAACAGCTTATTTATTCAACTTTCAGATTATGTATAAATCTCAATTTTAAAAAATTGTGCCTGGTTTTGTGGTCCAGGGTCACATTTGTTCATAACTTTCAAACAAAGTTCTGAGAACATTCCCTGTTAGCTAACATTAACAAGTAACAAATTTAATTCACTGGACGTTGAATGAATTGTTGATCCAGTTTACAAAACCAGTCTGAATGATTTATTCACAAATCAGGCTGGTTTAGTTCTCAAGGTCAGTTTACTGACTGACTCACTGAATGATTCAGTTGCAATGGCTACCAGCTCAATTTATCTTTGAATATTTTCACACCAAACTACTAGAGCATGGATCATAAGGACCAATTTATGATATTTTATGATACATTTCTGATACATCACTTTTGTGTTATTTTTTAATCTTGAAAGCTTATGCACCTCTTTATTGTAATTGAATTTAAATGAGTGACTAGTACAATACTGTACTTTATTCACATTTTCTCTTTTTGTGTTCCACGGAGGAAAGTCATACAGGTTGGAACAACATGAGAGTGAATAAATGATGACAGGATTTTCATTCTTGTGTAAAATTTTCCTTTAAGCCCAAGAGTGTGGCAGAAAGAAAAAAGAGGTCAAGCAAGTGTGTCTGTCAGCATTTTGATGGTGAAGTGATCTTTAGTATTGACATGAGGACCCTTTTCTTGAGAATGGAAATTTTCCAAACAGTTGATTACTGCACTCTTGGCACTCAACCATCCTGCTGATAGAAAAACCCAATCACTGTTTATGGCTCCATCTGTGTGATTGAGAGGTGCCGCATACAATGTTATTTTTCAAACATAAAACAGTAATCAGTATTCTAACTGAAATCTCTGCTATGTGGGTCATTCTACAAAATGGATGCCGTTTGTGTCACTCGTTCATACTCTAATGTTCAAATATTTGGAGTATTTAAAAAAAAAAAACTGACAGTAAAGACGTTATTTCTATGTCAAATAAATGTTGTGCTTTTGATTTCTTTATTCATCAAAGAATCCTGAAGAAATTGTATCAGAGTTTACATGAAAATGTTAAACAGAACAACTGTTTTTAACATTGATAATTATAGTAAGAAGTGTTTCTTGAGCACCAAATCTGATGATTTCTGTGGTTTGTCAATGTCAATGATTTACGAAGGATCATGTGACACTGAAGACTGGAGTAGCCTAATGATGCCGAAAATTCAGCTTTGATATCACAGGAATAAATTACATCTTAAAATATTTTTAAATATAAAACAGTGAATTTAAATTGTAAAAATATTTCATAATATTACTGTTTTAACAGTATTTATGATCAAATAAATAAAGCCTTGATGAGGTTAAGAGACTTTTTTTCAAAAACATTAAACAACCGACCGCAAACTTTTGAACTGTAGTGTGGTGTAAAGTTTACCTAATGTGTTAATAGACAATTAATAGACTTTGAGAGGTTTAGTCTTTTAGTTTGTCTGATGTTTAATCTCAAGATGTTTGTCAAACTAACAGAGGAGAAGTGCAGATTCCTCACCCAGGCCCTTGAGGAGTTTCTTATCAGCTTTCTGCTCCTTCTCAGCAGCTTCTTTGGGCCCTGCGTCTTCATCAGCCTTTTTCTCCTCAGACTCCAGGATGGAGATCTGCTCCTGCATCAGGTTGGATGCTGCTCCATACGTGTTGATTATATCCTCAAGTTGCCTGCTGAAGTCCTCCATGGGGTCCTCTGGCTGCTCCTCGTTGCCATTGACTTGTTCATTGGCGCTCTCAAGGGTCTGGTCACTGCCCTCCATCATCTGCTGCAAAAATCAAGTTAAATATATCATAAAAGTGCTTCATAAGAAAGCAGTTTGATTAGCAGAGGTAGAACAGCCAATTCCCTGATTGCACTCTTGGCTTGATGCTAAAATGAGAATGTTGAAATTAATGAGAAGTGATTATGCATTTCTTGTAGAGAGGTTTGATATGACTCCCTGAAATCACCAGCCACTGAACTGAAGACGGATGGCTTTTGGCCGGTCTGTGGTATGTTTGCATTAATAGAAGGAATTTGTGTTTGAAATGCATGAGGTTGTTTGTAAGAAATGTGAATTCTAACATTTGATTAATGTATTGCCTCAGGCAGAAACAATCCTAATAATAGAGAAGTGACTTATAAAAATAAACATTTGCAGAAACTTAAAACTGAGACTTGGAAATAGCTGGAGGGAAATGTTATTTTTTGCAATAATTGAATTAATGAAATAGTTTAATTTGTTCTATTTGTTCTTATTTCTTTTTTAAATTATTTTTTTATTTTGTGTACCAAATTAACAATACTTATATATATATATATATTATTCGTATAAATGTAAATATACACTCACCGGCCACTTTATTAGGTACCCCATGCTAGTAACGGGTTGGACCCCCTTTTGCCTTCAGAACTGCCTCAATTCTTCGTGGCATAGATTCAACAAGGTGCTGGAAGCATTCCTCAGGGAGTTTGGTCCATATTGACATGATGGCATCACACAGTTGCCGCAGATTTGTCGGCTGCACATCCATGATGCGAATCTCCCGTTCCACCACATCCCAAAGATGCTCTATTGGGTTGAGATCTGGTGACTGTGGAGGCCATTTTAGTACAGTGAACTCATTGTCATGTTCAAGAAACCAATTTGAAATGATTAGAGCTTTGTGACATGGTGGAAGTAGCCATCAGAGGATGGGTACATGGTGGCCATAAAGGGATGGACATGGTCAGAAACAATGCTCAGGTAGGCCGTGGCATTTAAACGATGCCCAATTGGCACTAAGGGGCCTAAAGTGTGCCAGGAAAACATCCCCCACACCATTACACCACCACCACCAGCCTGCACAGTGGTAACAAGGCATGATGGTTCCATGTTCTCATTCTGTTTACGCCAAATTCTGACTCTAACATCTGAATGTCTCAACAGAAATCGAGACTCATCAGACCAGGCAACATTTTTCCAGTCTTCAACTGTTCAATTTTGGTGAGCTCTTGCAAATTGTAGCCTCTTTTTCCTATTTGTAGTGGAGATGAGTGGTACCCGGTGGAGTCTTCTGCTGTTGTAGCCCATCCGCCTCAAGGTTGTGCGTGTTGTGGCTTCACAAATGCTTTGCTGCATACCTCGGTTGTAACGAGTGGTTATTTCAGTCACTGTTGCCCTTCTATCAGCTCGAACCAGTCTGGCCATTCTCCTCTGACCTCTGGCATCAACAAGGCATTTCCGCCCACAGAACTGCCGCTCACTGGATGTTTTTTCTTTTTCGGACCATTCTCTGTAAACCCTAGAGATGGTTGTGCGTGAAAATCCCAGTAGATTAGCAGTTTCTGAAATACTCAGACCAGCCCTTCTGGCACCAACAATCATGCCACGTTCAAAGTCACTCAAATCAACTTTCTTCCCCATACTGATGCTCGGTTTGAACTGCAGGAGATTGTCTTGACCATGTCTACATGCCTAAATGCACTGAGTTGCCGCCATGTGATTGGCTGCTTAGAAATTAAGTGTTAACGAGCAGTTGGACAGGTGTACCTAATAAAGTGGCCGGTGAGTGTATACAGTATATATTTATAAAATATCGGTATAAAACAGTGTCGTTACATAGTACACAAAATTAAAAAATAGTAATAGAAAAATAAGATGAAGTTTGGGGTCGGTAAGAGTCTGTATTATGCTCACCAAGACTGCATTTATTTGATCAATATACAATAAAAACAGTAATACTGTTATTACCATATTATTACCATTTAAAATATCTGTTTTTTCTTTTAATAAGAAATTTAATTTATTCCTATAATGTCAAAGCTGAATTTTCAGCAGCCATTAGCTACTCCAGTCTTTAGGTGTAACATGATCTTTTCACAATCATTAAAAATCATTCTAATATGCTGATTTGGTGCTCAAGAAATATTTTGAATGGTTGTGTGTGTAGCCTATAGACAGAGATTTGTATTATTATCAATGGATAATTTAAAAAGTCTGTCTCTTAATATCTATAGTTTGTGATCTAGTCAGTGATAGCAAGCACTAAATCAACACTAAAAGAGTCGCATCTGATCTGTAAGTTTCCTCCATGTCGAGTGGACATCTGAAGAGAAGCAATGAGCCGCATGTGACACACAAGGCTGTGGGAGGGGGCGCAGAGAAAATAGCACAAATCACAGTGGCAGAGTATCACTGAGCCTCTAAATCTGATGTGTCACAGATAGCGCCAGACCTGAAGCCCTTCAGCTCAACACGGCTGATTTCATGTGGAATGAACTCTGAGATTCCAGAGGTTGTTTATGTCGAAGCTCTGGTGCTTATCAGGTTAAAATTATAGCCCTCTTTCCACCCCATGTGCATGTATCCACTCCTCCTCCTTTCCCATCACCCCTCCTCATTCAGCAACACGGCACCTGTTGTGAAGCCACATGCTATTTTTGGACCCTCTAAATATGGACAAGCTACTTCTTATTCTTGCCACGTAGCTTCTGATGTCAATGATGGCAGTTTTACGCAAAGTGGAAAAAACAATGACTATTCTAAACATCAGTATACCTTTAAAACAAGAGGCTAAGAGTGAACCACACAGTTTAGACTAACTTTGGGAAATGCAAAAGACACGATTACTTTGCTCATATATTAAATTGAAAATGACAGAATTATGGCTTGGAGACTTTTTCTTCATATTGTCCTTACAAAAATCACAATAACGGAACCACACTATAAGGACTGAAATAAAATGTACAGCCAAGTATAAACTAACTCAGATGCTCCTCAAAAACACGTTTTTGACATTCAGCTCAACTTGAAATAAAATAGTGAAGCTCAAGACTTACCCTACACGTGTCTGTTCAGGTTCGAATAGAAAAGGAAGACAATGAACCAGCCAGTCCACAGTTTTAGGAGAGTGACAGAGAGACCTGAGGAGGGTCCGCTATAGGACTCAAGACAACAGCTGACAACACGAGCCCCTCAAAATAACCTCCACTGGAACACCAATGGAAACGTTGTCCAAACACTCTGAATGAAGTGGCCTGTCAAGATCTTTCTACTCAGGCTTTTCAGGAAGACAGCTGAGGAGATTATGTTGATGGCTTAAAAAAAGAGTGCATATATGTTTTTTGTTGAGTACGATATTTGATACATGAGGCTTATATGGCTCATGTATGGAGCTCATACCCGAGGAGGGGGGAAAATTCCTCAGTTTTATTCAGAGGACCAATTTGGTGCAGATTCTGATATTTATAAATGGCCAAAAGTAAGATGGAATTCTAATGGCTTTGTAGTGTAAATCAATGAGATCTTTATAACAGTACTGTATAGCATACTTACATAAAATGCTTATAAATAACAGTTGTCACTCTATCTCCCAATATTGTATCTTATTAAGATGAAATTGAAATGCTTAGTTTTATTATCAAAGCTTTGTCATTTTTATGGGGGAAAAACAACGCAATTCAATGGAATGATGACGAGCCTGATGTATCATATTTGATTCTCACATTCTAACATATAAATAAATTATGCATGGATTATCAAGTAAAGTTGCTTCAGTCCAAGTAAGTAAGAAAATATTACTAACAATATAAAAGTCATTCTTGCATTTACTTTATAATTTTTATGGGGGAATTATACTAAGAGGTATTTTACTTGCTAAAAAAGTACGATCGATCAGATGGCAGAAGGCAAGTAGATTGTGTATAACAGGGTTTTCAGCAAAGTTTTGATCATGTTATTAATATAGAGAAATTTGTGTAGGCTTTATAGGGTTAACATGCAAATCTGGGTGGCCCTCACAGTTATTGACTTGTGTACTGAATGCCTGAGGACCAATTTCTTGTAACAATCTGCTTAGTATTGGGTGTTAATGGCTCCTATTAGCATTTATATCACATTTGTCCACCATAATTCCAGTCAATTGCGCTCTAATCACTCCAAATCATGCAAATGGAGAATTGTGAAGTGATTAGCATCTCCAATGCAACTCACTCCACAAAAAGTGTTTTTGTCTGCACATTTCTAAATATTTGAACATATTTGGAATGCAACTGCAAAACTCGGCCACCCACCCATTCATCAAACAATGTCATGTGGTCTTTAATGAATGACTTACAGTAGTGCACTTTTACACTGATATTATCAATTTTGGGCATCAGAATCATTATTTTTCTATTTGCAATGGCACTTAGTAAAAGCCCAAATGAGTCTAAATTGTTGCGGGTCATGTTAAGGATTTGTAAAGAGTGGTGGGCGATAGTCTTTCTCTCTGATAATCCTCACCCGTGGCTTTTATTAGTGAATCTTTTAATCACCAGATAGAAATGATTCTGACTTTGGCTCCAGGCTTCATTATTTCTCTCAGCCCCTGCATCTCAATTAATGATTGTAACGTCCTTGTTCTTTGAGAGGACTCAGGAGACACTGGATAGAATTGCGTTTGATTCTCTTGCTTGGGTTTTTTGATAAACCTTGTCTCTTTAACCTTGAATCACGTTTTGCCGCAACTGTCAGTATGTTACAGAGCTGGTGAGGCAAGGACTTGGACTGATGTTTCTGGCCATGTAGGTTTTGTGGTTATATGCACAGATGGACTGGTATGAATGAGCGATACCGCTCAGAACTGCTCACTTCCTGGTGTTCATGACACAGGTCTCCTCTGACAAAGTCACAACAGAATCTTGCTCGGTTTTTGTTTTTTTGCTTGAGGTTTCCTCTAAATGAGCTGCTGACTCATGCAGTCAAATTAAGTCAGATTTGTCCACTTCTCCTGCTTCGCTCTCCTATTTCTCAAGGTGCTGTCAAAAGCACCGATCCTTGGACTGTGTTGCAGAGACAGGAACGTCCATATATCCTGCATATCATTTGCTCTGTGAGATGTTGTATTTAATGGTTGATAATGAGGTTTGCTATACTCTAAGATTTCTGCCGTTTATCATTTTAAATCGCAGACTGTGTTGTTAAAGTTATGGCAGATGCTGGAAAATCAGATGGTTGTTTATATCTGTTACAGATCAGCCAGGCTCTCACACCAGCCAATCACAGCGCACTCCCTCACCTGAATTCTAATCACACACACCTGCACCTCATCATCACCATCATCACTATAAAGACACACTCCTCACCGCTGTTCACTGCCTGGTCTCGTTCACACGAAGAGGACTACTTACCTTGCTATCGCAAACCTTAAATCTCCTGAATTCTTCAACGACCATTCTCCAGTCTCCACTCCAGAGTCTCGTCTCCAGTTCTCCATCTCCAGCATCTCGCCTCTCCTCTCCTCTGTGTCTCCAGTGTTCCTCGTTCCTGTCATCCGTCTCACCCACCTGTTCACCTGTAAGAAGAACCATTCCACTCATCGCCTGCACACCGCTCTCCAAATTATCATTGTTCATCTCAATTGCCTGCATTCTGTTCCCGCTCTGTGTTGTCAATAAACTCCTGTTAACTTCATATCCATCTCTTGAGTCTGCTTCTGTAACAATATCATATTTTAATGTACACTATGTAATTTTCAAAGTCAATACATCATCAATCCTTCTTCCAAAACGTGTTTTTATCTTACCCTGATTCACTATGGTTAGCCTATTATAAATATTTATATGTTAGACCGGTCGGGATGGTTTCACAGGAAGTTGCATATACTGTCAGGGTTGTGGTGCGGGTTGAAGAAGAGTCTGAGGCAAGAAGGCTCCAATTTAAACATTTACTGATAAACTAAAAACAGGTACAGGCAGGATAACAAAACTCACACTACTACAACTATACATTGACGACGACCGACAAAGACTGAATGAACAGAAGCAAACTAAATACAGAGACAAATGAACACTAATGAAGTGAAGACAGGTGACACAGATGATGATGACGAGGGACAGGTGGATAATGAGGGAGTGAGTACAGGTGTGGAGACAAGGAGGATTCTGGGAAGTGTAGTGAAGATGACTAAGACAGACAGGTGCAGACGAAAACTGTGACAGAACGCCCCCCTTCAACAAGGCGCGACCTCGCGCCGTAGAACATCAATGGGGTGGGGGGGCGGGCACCCTGAAGGCTGGCCAGGGCGTGGCCAAACTGGGACGGGAAGCCTCCAGGGCGGAGGAAGTGCAGGCGGCCAGGGCGGGGCAGGATGTGCAGGCGGCCAGGGCGGAGCAGGACGTGAAGGCGGCCAGGGCGGAGCAGGACGTGAAGGCGGCCAGGGCGGAGCAGGACGTGGCCAGGGCGGAGCAGGACGTGAAGGCGGCCAGGGCGGAGCAGGACGTGGCCAGGGCGGAGCAGGACGTGGGCGTGGCCAGGGCGGTGGAGACCCTTCGGGCGGCCATGGCGGTGCGGACCCTTCGGGCGGCCATGGCGGTGAGGACCCTTCGGGCGGGCACGGCGAGGGCCTATGGCCCCCCCCAAAAAAATTAATGGGGAGAGTGGCAGAGTCATTACAAGTCTCTGGGCTGGACGGGACCAGCGGCGAAAGGGTCTCTGGGCTGGACGGGACCAGCGGCGAAGGGGTCTCTGGGCTGGACGGGACCAGCGGTGAAGGGGTCTCTGGGCTGGACGGGACCAGCGGCGAAGGGGTCTCTGGGCTGGACGGGACCAGCGGCGAAGGAAGCTCAGGGCTGGACTGGACCAGTGGCGAAGGAAGCTCAGGGCTGGGCGGAACCAGCGGCGAAGGAAGCTCTGGGCTGGACGGGACCAGCGGCGAAGGAAGCTCTGGGCTGGACGGGACCAGCGGCGAAGGAAGCTCAGGGCTGGACGGGACCAGCGGCGAAGGAAGCTCAGGGCTGGACGGGACCAGCGGCGAAGGAAGCTCTGGGCTGGACGGGACCAGCGGTGAAGAGGGCTTTGAACTGGCCGAATGGGCCATGATCTTTGTGTGTGTAGCCCACACACACAAGATCGCCGTAATCAGCACTGTATCTTCCAGAGCTGGCTGAACGGTCTCTGGCTGGACGGTCTCAGGCTCTGGCGGGCAGGCGACGGGCTCAGGCTCTGGCGGGCAGGCGACGGGCTCTGTGCTGGATGGGACCAGTGGTGAAGAAGGCTTTGAGCTGGGCAGGACCAGCAGTGAATGCTTTGAGCTGGGCAGGACCAGCGGTGAAGAAGGCTTTGAGCTGGGCAGGACCAGCGGTGAAGAAGGCCTTGAGCTGGGCGGAACCAGCGGTGAAGAGGTCTTCGAGCTGGGCGGAACCAGCGGTGAAATGGGCTTTGAGCTGGGCAGGACCAGCTGTGAAGAGGGCTTTGAGCTGGGCAGGACCAGCTGTGAAGAGGGCTTTGAGCTGGGCAGGACCAGCTGTGAAGAGGGCTTTGAGCTGGGCAGGACCAGCTGTGAAGAGGGCTTTGAGCTGGGCAGGACCAGCTGTGAAGAGGGCTTTGAGCTGGGCAGGACCAGCTGTGAAGAGGGCTTTGAGCTGGGCAGGACCAGCTGTGAAGAGGGCTTTGAGCTGGGCAGGACCAGCTGTGAAGAGGGCTTTGAGATGGGCAGGACCAGCTGTGAAGAGGGCTTAGGCGCTGGATCAGCGGGCTCTGGCGCAGGATCAGCGGGCTCTGGCGCAGGATCAGTGGGCTCTGGCGCAGGATCAGCGGGCTCTGGCGCAGGATCAGCGATGAGGATGGACGGCGTGGCGAAGATGGCTGGAGGCATCACTGGGGTGATGGTGATGCGGAGACCTCTCTCAAACAGTATCCTGATGAGGTAGTCAGTTAGGTCACGGCCAGCCAAGTCCATCTTTTGGTTTGGTCGGTCGTTCTGTCAGGGTTGTGGTGCGGGTTGAAGAAGAGTCTGAGGCAAGAAGGCTCCAATTTAAACATTTACTGATAACAAACTAAAAACAGGTACAGGCAGGATAACAAAACTCACACTACTACAACTATACATTGACGACGACCGACAAAGACTGAATGAACAGAAGCAAACTAAATACAGAGACAAATGAACACTAATGAAGTGAAGACAGGTGACACAGATGATGATGA